TCTATATCTTCTATGTACGCATTCATATCTCCTAATATAATTATCTCGCACTCTCCTCCTAGTTCCTCAATATCCTTTTGCATACACTCCACCATTGCCTGGTTTTCCTATCTGGCCTTTGCTCTTGTCCACAAGTCATCAGCTACAAGTTCCGTCATCTAGTGAACACTGCAAGAACTAAACGAGAGGTGGCTACATACAGGGGACGGTACCGCCATCTAGTACACTCTGCAAGAACTAAACGAGAGGTGGCCACAGAACACCTACCAGTTTGGTAGGGCGTGGGCTGTGCATCTACTGCTACATGCAGGGGATGTACAGCCCACGCCTTAAGGAGCTACACCCCTGAAAAAAAAGGAGCAGAAATGTGGCCCTCACGCATTTTTTAAGGGGCGAAGCTCTTTAGGGCGTGGGTCTGTCCATTCCTTGTATGTGTGTGTGTGTGTGTGTGTGTGTGTGTGTGTGTGTGTGTGTGTGTGTGTGTGTGTGTGTGTGTGTGTGCGTGTGTGTGTGTGTGTGTGTGTGTGTGTGTGTGTGTGTGTGTGTGTGTGTGTGTGTGTGTGTGTGTGTGTGTGTGTGTGTGTGTGTGTGTGTGTGTGTGTGTGTGTGTGTGTGTGTGTGTGTGTGTGTGTGTGTGTGTGTGTGTGTGTGTGTGTGTGTAAGTATGTACGTAGCCACCGGTGGCACATACACCTTAATTATGTACAGTCATGCAAGTAATGAGTCGCAACATGCTACCAGTGGTCAAAGCAGTGCCAACAGTGCACGATGGCGGAGACATATGAAACAATCGATGACATAAACACTATTTTAACTACTGTACTGGTATTTCCAAAACCAATTTCACGTTTGCTGGTAAGCTGCTGTTTTGCAGCTTTTTTCTTCCTTTCCCTCGCGCTTTATTTTTTTTTCTTGTAAAAAGGAAATGGGAAATAAACTTGAAACAGTGCAGGCTTCAACCTTGACCACTGTGCCACAACTCGAACCGAGCGCCACTGTACGCATGCTTTCAGTTATCTTAAATGTGTGCCGTAGGCTACTGTAGGGTTTGAAGACCCTCACAGAAACATATGGTACCGGTTGTCCGATCGGGTACTTCTCTGGAATCTGCAAAAGAATAGCAAAACTCTATGGAGGTCTTAGCATCTCACAGTTATTGGGTACTACTATAGACAGCAGCAGCATGTCCTCCTTCAAAGACGGACGAATACGAGCTTTCACGGATGGGTATGCACTCTAGAGTGGTGTTCTAAAATGGACGGCCGGTGACTCTATTGTACAGCTGATGAGCGAAACTTCATTCAGACTGCTATATACCCGCATATAATGAAATGCCGGTTATATCGAAGTAAATAAAAAATAACCTTGTAATATATATAGCGTTAGGAATAAGCTTTTATTATGGGGAGTCGCTTGCTGGATTCCGTGCTGACCGGTTGTGCGCGCACGCACTTGCGATCTCCGGCGTCAGCGTAGCTCTGGCCGACTGGGCTCGCCCTACGTCACCTCCTGACGCCGACGACCTTCGACGACAGTGTAGCTCTGACCGACTGCACTTGCTCTACGCCATCTACCGACGCCAACAAGAGCTCTCGCAAGTGTGCCCCGTCCAACGTTTTTAGAACACTTTCCTATCTCTTCTATACCATCAGTTTGTTGTCGCTCGCTCTGGCTTACCACCTCACGTCTCTTCCTCTCTTCTTCTTTCTCTTTTCTACACCTTTACTCCTACCCCTTTTTTATCCCTCCTCACCCCCATCCCTTGTGAGCTACTGTTGAGGTGTCGCTCACTGAAGCAGACAATAATGGGTCTCACTTTTCGGTTCCTTTCTCTCTCTTAAGAATCACTCACACACAAGCTTTTATTATAAGTTTTCGGATGTAACTAACATTATTTTGTAAGATGCAGCTTTATTATAATCAGTTTCGAACGTATCTCTTTTAGTCACTAGGACAATTAGCAGTAGTGCTTGTCATCTGGGCTCGTCTATCGTCACAAGTTGCATCCGTCCTCACAACAGAACCACACTTCCAAGTGTGAAATGGCACAGGTAAGCCTCTACTTTACTTTGCTGCTCGCTACCAGAAAATGTGTTACCAATAAGTACGACAGCAAACCATTCCTCTGTAATCACCTGCCTAGCCTGCATTGCCAGCAGGGTAGCTGTAGACAGCACACTTCCTTGAAAACGTGTGACCGTAGGTAAATGCAGTGCGGCGATTTGGATGTCGGCTGCGTTCAAATGATAACAGCCTGTGCGCCCAGGTCGTCAAAACTACTAGAACTCTCTAGTATGGTATCCCTCATAATCATATAATAGTTTTGGGACATTTAATTCCCAACAACTATTATTAGTCACAGTTTCAAAGTGTTCAAGTTTATCATGCGAACAGGCATGCCAGAAGTACACTGCATTGCAAGCATGTCAATGTTTAACTCTGCATTTTTAATAACCTCATTTCATTCAGTGAAGCATTTAGAGTTTAATGCCATCAGCAGTATTCATCAGCACTGAGTAGCCCAGCTTGTTACAACATAATTATGCTACATATACAGCCAGTTGGCTGATTCTAAAGATGCTTATATTCACTGGCATGCGTAGAAGTAAACTCAGACATAAGATTTTAATGCGGCAGCGTCAAAGAGTTTGTTTCTCAGAAATTCTGGCATAGGCATCGTTGGTTGCGAGTGAGAAATTATCTTGCCACTTGCCGAATAATCCAGCAAGAAAGATGCGAAATAAACTATAAAAATCTTCGGTTTGAGTGAAGAATCAAGCCCAGGCCATCTGTGTGGCAAGTAGGAGTTCTACCGCAGAGCTATGTTACCGCTTAAAGCTGCCCAGGAAAAAAAAAAGTACACACTATATGAATGTAATGTAACGGAAGCAGTTTCCTTAACTGTATAAACATTGCCTGCCAGAAGTGCAGAATGGGGAACCAGGCATCAAAACGCGAATCGCGCACATATTGTTTAGTTTTTAAGATTTCTTTGCAGTTGCTGTATTATCATGGTTGCTGTTTTTTTTTTTTGGAATTGGAACTTGATTTTTATATCTTTATTTATTTTTATTTATTCATCTATTTGGTGTTGTTGTTATTGTCGACTTCACATCGCTGATTGTTTGCCACTGCTGTCGTGCTAAAAGGTAGCTGTGGGCCTTTGTCAAGCTGCCTCTTTTGGAGAGCAGCTTTTACCTGCAGCTGTCCTTCATCAAACTATTGATGAAAAAATTATTATTATTATTATTATTATTATTATTATTATTATTATTATTATTATTATTATTATTATTATTATTTCATGAGTGTTTTGAAGCGCTGAGAGACATTTAATGATCATCTGCTGCACAAGCACCAACATAGTAAAAGCACGTGCACTGATGCATAGGTTCCAGGGTTGCCTAGCTAGCTTACACACACGTAGAGGTCCAAAGACCGATTCGCAAAGGAAACAATTATGGTGCGCAGTAGGCACTGAACAACTGTATTGCAGCAGGCATTCTAGGATAGTTTGGGGCTACCAATGTTACACGCACAGTCGTTCGTTTCCTTATGCCATGGTCAGTGGCGCAGCTTGTGCCCCCCCCCCCCCCTCCCCCGTATTTTTTTTTCTCGCTGTGGCATACATAGCGGATAATGGCCATTTGCATACCTGCCCCTTCCCTTTTCAGATCTAAATGCCCCCCCCCCCCCTTCCCGTATTTTTTTTTTTCCTACGCCGCTGGGCATGGTTGTGGCATGTACCGAGAACCATGTAGCGTAGCCAAGGGGTGACACACCAGGCCCATGTTCCTCCCCCCCCCCCCCCAACTCCCCCGAAAGGAGTGTCTGCCTACGCAGAATTTTCAAGATATACGAGCAGTTGGGAAAATGATGCGCACAGAGCTCAATTACGATATCGCGTACTATTGAAGGCGAAGCTCAAGTGTCGTCGACGTTTTTTTTTTTTTTTCTCCTTCTTTGTCTTGAATCTCTAAATAGCACGAATATATACTATAGGCTGCTCGGTCGGGGTTGGCGTTCTAAAGACAAATAACCGCGTTCATGGTTCAAGGTGTAAAATGCCGTCCACGAAGACAACAAACAAAATTAAGAGGGAGCTAGGACACCGGACAAGCGCTTGTCCTTTGTCCACCTCTTTCGACAGTAAGTGACAGCAGCGATACAGTGCGATTTGTTTACTTCCTTATGAGCTCGTTGCTGTATTATGTGAAGGAAATACGTGAGCGGCCTCCGATTATTCTTACATATAAATGCCATAGCAACGTATGCATGTTGTACTAAAGGCGGCTTTGTAGGAACGTAGAAACTACGGCAGTGTTAACCGACGGCACGAATGAATCAAGTTATCCTGCCAGCCCTGTGGTAATCGCTTCGAGCTCACTGGAATTTGGGTATCGTTGAAAGAATGGTTGATCGTAGCAGTCAGCGGAGCACCAGATGAGTCATGGTAACCGCGAAGCCCTGGTTCACAGCAATGGTCACAGCCTTTGCGTTTGAACTAGCAAAGCATACTCACAAATAACATTACCGAGAGTAGGCTAAATTCGACTAAACAACACTCAACACGACTTGCAGCGTACTAGCTGCAACACAAATCAAAGCAGAAAGACGAAATTCGCGCCACTTCTTTGCGCACGGACGTTTCTTTTGCGCTGCTTGTGAGTGCGCACTCACAGTTTCGTTTTCTAAAAAAAATGGAATTGTCTAATATTTTCTAAAAAAGTTACTGCCAATTAGTATTTAAGGTTTTTTTATGGCAGTTTATGCATTGCTATCAACGTTTTTTTTTTACCATTAAAAAGGCGGAAGTGTAATAGATTGTAATAGACTAGTGAGACATAGTACAACTCCACATACGGTGAAAAAAACCATTAGGAGCCAATCAGAGTCACGCAGTTTTTGTCGTGCCACCTATCTTGACCAATCATAACGCTCGCTTTATGTGCCGTGTAGATAGCGTGAAGTGGCTTTGCTTAGGCGTTACGCGTCACGCAACCATAGAAACCGCTTGGCGGGGCTGAGAAGCCACGCGGCGCGTGTGTCGCTGCAGCTGCCGTATAAAAACACCGGGAACCCAGCAGCGCGCTATGACTGGTGCTGATAGTAACAAGCGTGCGAAGATGGCTTCGTCTCTCGACCAGTTGAAGGAGATCACCACCGTAGTCGCCGATACGGGGGACTTCGAAGGTGCGTGACCATGCCCTGTGCCGTATAGTAGCCGCGCCGCCTGACGAACTAAACAACTAAAAAAAAAAAAAAGTGGGGCGACATCGTCTCGTAACACGTGCCCCCGATTTCCCTAGCATTTGCTGTCGTTAGCCGGCCAGGCACTGTCTTCATTAGCGGTGCAGTGCATTCCACAGACCCGCCGAAAGCCGTAGTACGGGGCGGCGTATCAATCAGATGGCAAAGAGACTTTCTAGCGGACACCGTCAAAACGGTTTCCTGTTGCAAGGTGTTCGTGGCATCCGCCTGGAAATTCCTGTCGCGGAAAAGCCGGTCTCTTGTTGCGATAGCCCGACGTCTACAGAATTCATTCGCGTCCTTCTGCGCTGAGTTGGCCCGTGGTGTCTAGAGTTTTATGTTATATTAGTCGGGGACCTGGAGATGCCGAGTGCGGCAATTCGGAGCTTATCAGTGGCCGTGATCGGCGAATCGCTAGCAGCGGTCGCGAGAAAAGATCTTGATCCCATCAGCCGGGTGTCCTTCGGGTTGCCGGCTTTGTAACGAGAAAAGTTTTGGAGTGGCAGTGGTTTCGCTATCGTTTATTTGCCTTTTGGTGGGCGTGGCATCCTATTTCTCTGTCATCGTGTTGTTAATCGGTCGTGTTTTCCCCGCTGGTAGCTTTCCAGCCTGGTGCAGTCTTTTATTTCATTTTACTTCCCCATGTAACACCGAAAGCGCTGCTCCTCGAATTCCGTTGACAGGCGCCACTGCCCCCCCCCCCTCGCCACAGTAAAGATGTCACTGTTATTTAAATACGGCTTTTAACACACTTGTTTGATTTGTTTCGAACGTGCGGTTGGCGTAAGGCCTCTTACAAAAATTATTTTTCTGTTAATTAACTCGGGCCATGTGAAACTGTTCACCTCTGATATATTATACATGGACCAATTTCAGCCCGTGACATGATACTGTAGACTTTTATTCCTTGTGGCAAGTGTGACCACTCATATCTGCACTCGTACAGGCTGTAATTGTACACGTCTACTGTTGTATTTATTTTCGAGAGTGATCACGAAAAAGTGATATTGACAACAGTGTCAATTAACGGGTCGGGTCGCTCAAAAGTGCTCTGTCGCAATAGTGGTATTTATAATAATGATGCCCCTAAGTCTGCGTAACTGAGTAGTGAAAACTTTTCGATATCCACAGTTCTTCTTTTTTTTATTGCTACACAAAGTTGGTCTTAAGGCATGATATTTTGTGCGTATGTGTGTATTAAATGTGCTCCATTAAGCCTGTGTTAATCAGGAGGTTGAAGCCATGTGCAATTTCTCTGCTAAATTAATGAAATGAGAGTATGGCTAGGTGTCACATTAGCTGCAAGTCTGTTCAACATAAAAGTCCAGTAATCTGAAAAAGAGCAGCGAGTTTCAGCTACTTAGTAAGCTAAGCCTCTGCGCCTTGTGCTATGCACTTTTCAAACAAGAATAAGATTGGTACTGATGATGAATGAATACACCAGTGTGCATGCTGACACATGTGCAAAGCTAGAAGGGCTGTTTTTCTAAACACTCTTCTATGATTGGGCGTTCCTCTATTTTTTTCGTTTGACTTGAAATTTCTTTGGTCTCGCAGTAAAAACCAAGCTGCACATTGCGTCTCGACCTTTTCATACTTTAGTTCATGCCTCCCACCTGTAGTCTTGATAAAGTAAAGTACAAACTACCAGCTAGCTTTGTACTCGAGCTAGGCTGTTCGTCAATCTCACTATAAACCAGCAGTGCTTGGCTTTTGGCTTCTGTTCTTGTGCATTGCTGGTATCAATATTATCGCTATTCAAAGACTGTATAGCACATGAACAGTGCAATAGTGGTCTTCCTAAAACTGCTAATAAGTGACTGTTCAATGCTGCAAAGATCTTAATGCTCGTGAAAATTCTTTGCACCTGAACATGCATATCTCACTAGATTTGGAATTTTAATAGTCGAATGTAATCTATGATGGATGCCAGTTCACAGAACCAGTCACCGACGAGTAAACTTGGTTATGCTGGTGGGAAAAAGCATTCGGTTGTGGTTATGCTCAATCATATGTGTGGTTATTTTTTTTATCAACTCAATTAAGCTGTTCTTTGAGGGAAATAGATCGAAGAGTTACTTAAGAGCAACGCTCGGATGTGCTAGAATTGTAGGGTTTGAAAAATCCTGGCAACCTAAATTGCTTGATGGAAATCGTCTGTGGTGAGATGTTACCACCAGGAAAAGTGCTGATTGCAATCCATGTTAACATACTTATGAACAGTAGCTTGGTCAGTTGCTGTAAACACCTGAAAGGAAATTAGTATAAAAATTGATAACATAATGTGTAATATTTTGTATGGTGTATTAGATAAGAAAATGTGGCATATTAAAATTGACACCACTCAACCAATTTGTCTGAACGATTGAAATCTAAGGACTGAAGTGTTAGTCAATTCATCAGCACAGTTACAATCAATTGCCATTGTAGCACGATGAATTTTTAGTGGCAAACATGTGAATACAGCTTTATATTGTTCATGATTGATTGATCAGTACGTGCAGCTGTAGCCAGAAATGTTTTTCGAAAGGAGGGGAGTGCAATTATGCCTTCTGTATTTCATGTATACATGATAATTGGCAAACAAAATTGCACAATTTTGGCTTGAACAGCCCCAACTTGGCTATGCCCATGGTGTGCAGTATCTTAAATTGGCTGCAGTTAACTGAAAAAAAAATCTACTTTTGGCATAATTTTTGTCAGATATGAATACTATTAGTATAGGTACATACATAGTATTGAAGGTGCACGGCTCGCGGTTTTAAATGTGTGCACTCGGAAATGCCTATATAAATTTTCTAGCAAGGCATATATTGAGTTTAAACTAACAAGCTCAAAAAATAGCTTTGACTCTGTGCTATTTGAAAGAATGTGCCAGTCTTGAGTTTATTCACCAAAAAAAGACCAATTATTCATAACTTGAAATGCTTTATTCCCGAGGAATCTGCCTGGTCTTTGATGCCACTATGTGAATTAGACTTCTTTTTTTTTTTTTTTTGCCACAACTTTCTTTTCTACTCATAATTGCTTTAAGTATTAATTTTTTTCCTCCCACCATAGTCGAGTGGTATAAACTAATGCGATTGTTTCAGCACCCTCACTGGCATTGTTTTCAATAGAATTAGAAAGTGCTCTGACCCACTGAATCGTATTACATATTGTATAAGTGTGGTCTCTCTTTTTTATTGTATTTTCTTTATCTTGCTGTATCTTCTTGCTTGTGAAATTTTGCATCTGCCCTATGCCCACTGTAAAGTCTGTATTATATATTCATGTACTTGGTATTTTTTGGTCAAGACTAACTTCGTGTACCGCCTTGTTAAAATCGCTGAATAGTGATTGCAGTACCTGAAAATAAAAATAAATATAAAAAATTGTTTCTCTTTTTATGCTGAAAAGTTTCTCTTTCACTTTCCTGAATTATCGCAAACTGAAATGCCAACAAATAAATGCATTGTATTATTTGTTATCCAAATTCTGAAATTGTATTTTATTGGGGGTTTGTTAGTAATTTCAAGGAACCCTTAGCTGGAAATGCATGAATTCGTTTCGCATGCTTTGATCTGGTTGCTTGCAGTGATGAAGCAGTACAAGCCAACAGATGCCACAACAAATCCATCTCTAATCCTGGCCGCCTCCAAGCTTCCCCAGTATGCCCACCTGGTGGACGATGCTGTCAAGTACGGCAAGAGCCACGGAAAGTGAGTCTCTTCTGTGTGGCTTCTCCTTATCATCTATGCGTGGCACACACGTACACAACAGTATCTGCCAGTGGCATTGGGCATGTGTCTGCTTCAACTTTGAAGTTAATTTTCGCATCGACTGCAACATAGACAAAAAGCCTCATACTGGCTTGGCAAGGTCTGTCCCCCCCCCTCAATTTTTTTTGGCAACCAACAGTACACGGTCATCATCATAAGTAAAATGCATAAACAGGCTCTTGTACAGAGAAAGACTCTTTGCATAAAAGACATGACTGACTTCTAATTAATGAAAAAAATGTACTCTTGCTACTTTCAGAAAAAGAAAAATGGTGAAATGTAGAGCTTAAAAGCACTTCTATCCACTAAACGTCGTACTGATTCATATACAGTTTGAAACTCATCGTGGTACACTTTCAACATAAAAATGTTGAATGTTGTAGTGGACACAGTAGAACCTAACACATTCTTCATGTGACCGTGAAGAAAACCCACAGTAGCTGGGAAATGGGCAACACAGGAATGCCATTAAAGGAACACTAAAAAGGAACTTTTTTTTTACATATCAGTACATTAGTTTCGTGGTTTGGGAAATGTCAGCCTCGTGGCGAGAAGACCCTTTGAAAATGCACGACAAGAGAAGGCTAGGAGCAACGCTGCCTTGAAATTTCTGTACAAAATGCCGTGACATCCTAGACTTTGATGGCCTTTACTAGGTGAATCCTAGTTCCTAACTGGTAATAATGAAGTGCATTGACCTCTGATGGAACCACGCAAAGTTTCTGGTAATTTCATTGAGCCACTGTCACCAAGCTGTGAAAGTGGACTTTGAAGTTAATTATGATGCATGCACAGATATTGTCACAAAATTTTAAAGTAACTGTGGTCTTGCTTTCTCACCTCTAGTAAGAGGTTTGGGATGATTAACCTAGCAACATTAAAGTAATTGGGCTGTAATTTATTGATCTAAGCCAATAAATTGTTTCATTTTAGGGCGGTTTTAAGTGCTGCTGAGTAGCGGCACACATAGCACACAATTTTGTGGCTGGAACCTGTAACAAGCACTTGATGGAAATCTGGCATTTCTTTGATGCCTCTGTCATTACCTGAGCCTTTCGGGAAACATGCGTTGCGGCAGTCAGGGGTGTAGCCAGAATTAAGAGAGGGGGAGCCAACCATACTTTGTGTGTGTGACACGAGCAAAATAAAACGATTTCGGGGTAGTTCCGAGTTCTCTCTCAACCTCTCCTGGGCTACACCCCTGGTGGCTGTCTACATTGCCAACTCATTGAACCTTCTCAGCTTTATACAGTGTAGTGGAAATTCGCAACGTATCAAGCAGGAACGTTGCAGAATGACTTGTCAGAAGGGGATTGTGCAAGTGTCTTTAGATCCTTTGCTGGGTCCAGGTTTCAGGAAATAATATATGTAGCAAATTGTATGAGCAGCCATTCAACCACATTTAATTTGACAGCACCATGTCTTGGGCATAGCTGGGAAAAACTGATTCTGACCATGGCATTCGGAGCATGGCAGACATTCATTAATTGACACTTTGTGAATCTGACTGTAGGGCATCGTAATTAATTAAGGTTGGCTGTGCAGTGGATCATCAAGGGTAGCCAAGTGATAACACGCATTTACTTCAGACAGAAAGACTAGAAAGGGTTAGTGGGTGAGAGTTCATATTTAGTGAGAGGTGCCGGAAATTGCCGATACTAAGATAGCTTACTACATTGTGAAATGCACATAAATTTGCTGTAACGTTCTACTGAAACATACCTTAAATGTCCAAATTTCTCGGTTTGCTTGAGTCGGAGAACATATTTTTCTGTAATTGCATTAGTTCTTTGGAGGTAAACATTTAATAGTCGAGAGTTCGACAGAATGCCATCTGGTCTGGTAAAGGCATTGTTTAATAAACAGGTCACTGACTGAAGTCACAACACAAAAAAAAAACAAAAATGGCATTGTGGTATCTCTACAGATTTGGAAATGTCTTTTTTTCGTGTTTGCGTTGGTCAGTGATGCGTTTTTTTAACAATGTGAACATGCCCATGTACGTGGGTACTTTTGGGTTACACCTGTTGCTTAGTTATTTTCAGTTCAGCAAATCTTCTCTCCTAGAACTGCAGTGTTAGATCAGAATTGTTCTAGATATATACGTGCTTAACTACTAATACTTAAGAGCGAAGTGCGACCCATGGTGTGTCAATCTCAATGGCACTATGGCAATACTTTCAGCTGCAATGCCCTAGCTGCCAGTCACGCTGGCTCGAAATTCGCGCGTCACCTTGCGGCAACGTCATAGATTTTGGCCGCTTCCGCAAGAGCATATGCAGTTATGTATCGGCAAGAATGCCAATTCCATTGTGTTGCAAAAGAGCAAAGCAAAAGGCAATGTTTTCTCGGGCGATCCTGGCATTGAAAACCGTGACGTAACGCCGACGCTAGGTTTCTGCGCGAGTTTCAAAAAGCGATGTTTTCGCCTAGGCAGTTTTCAACGGAGATGTTATCTCCTGAAACAGATTTATGTTTGTGGTTTAGCGTCATTTTGACATCTATTAGCCTCACGGGTTTTCGCTCCGCGGAGATATCTTGACCGCAAGTAGAGAAGAGCTCTCGTTCAATCTTCCACGCACCCCCTCCCCCCCCTTTTTTTTTTTTTGCAATCCCGTGTTCATACCCATAGGCACACGCAAAGTTCTCCTCGGGGGGGGGGGGGGGGGGAGGGGGGAGTGAAGGCTCGTCGCAGCGCCTCCCTCCCTATTATGTCAATGTATGGGGCATGCTTTGCGCCCCCTGCGCCTACCCCCCCCCCCCCCACCTCGTTTGCAGACTGCCCACTTCTCTCACGCCCCGCTCTCGGTTGGAACATCCTATGAAAACCTGAACTTTTGTGTGTTGCCCCCCTCCTTTTTTTTCCCCCTTGAGACCTCGCGATGCCTTGCCGTTTACTGCACGATTGCTCGTTTTCTTCGCTTCGTTGTTACGAAAGATTGAGGAAGGCGGAACGGCCCTGGTTCCGCTTTCTGCTGCGCCGCGCACAGTTTGGCGAAACCGGAGGCGCTTTTCGCGATTCGGCGCACCAGCCTGTTTCAGACCTTCAAGGGAGGGTGCCGTGTTTATCCGTATACTAGCCAACGCTCGTCTCCACCGTCCATCCTTTCTCCTCATGCTCTCTTAAAGTCTTGCAGATTTAACCATGCAGCTGCGTGATTTGGCCTAACTCGCCGCGCTTTATTTTGCGCGTCCACAGTACTCGTGAAGTAATGTTTATGCAAAAAAAAAAAAAAAAAATCTTATCGCTTTTGTCGGGTTCGAAAGCGGGCGCACCACGCGTCGATCTAGTGCACAATCGTTACGCTTTTGCAAAAGCAAGCGCGTTGTTTCTGCGAGCCATCTGCGGGTGAGTGTTCAAGCAAACGTGTATGGAAGCGGCGCCTGCAGTGTACGCATCAGGCACGGTGCGTGCGTTCCTTGTTTTTTTTTTTTTTTTTCTGTACGTCTTTTTCAAGAGGTTGGTGTTTACGGTGCACAGTAAATGCCAATGGGCGTCGAAATCGAAGGCGTCCTAGTCCCGGGCAAGGAAACAAATAAACCTGAAACGCATTGTAGTCGGTATTCGTTTGGCACGACAGCGGCGCATATTCTTGCAAGGTGGTCGACTTGTACTCTGTACCGACAAGTACGGTACACACAGGCTGGCGCTGCCCTTGCCTGTCTGTGCATGTCTTCACCTCAAGCTTTTTTGTGCTTGCCCAGTCGTTAGTCATCGGCTTTCGGACTTGTTTTTTTATTTCGCTTTCTTTCTCGGCCCTGTAGTTCCAGTCCGGCAACAGTTCCTTGCTTTTCCCGGCGCTTAAGCGGGCTCGTGGCATTTAATGTATATTTTTGTGCCTTTGTCTCGGTGGCCCTGCCCTCCTTTGCTTCCTGCTAGGCCGAGTTTTCCTTAGTTTTGTTTTGCGCGTTGGCGGCTTTCGTCTCCGTCTCTCTCCTGGGGCAGTCGTGGCCTTGGATTGAGGGAGTGCTAGACTTTGACCACGTTTTCTTCTTTTTTTTTTTCGCACTTTTTTTTTTCTTTGCCCTCGTGTAAAGTTGAGACGGCTTGTTTTCGCTTTCGGCGCGGTGCCGTTGACCTTTCTGAAGTTTTTGAATCTGTTGAATTGACTTGTGACTGATTACTGAACTGCATACTATTCTCTCGTAATTTCGTTCCGCACGTCTGGGTGTACCTTCTCTCCGGTGCCGTACGCACGCCTTGATATATTGCAATAGAGCGAAGATTCGGACACCCAAAGAAAATTTTACGAAAGCCGTTCTATTTCATTCTGCGATGGTGGATGACCGATAAAGCTGTGTATCACATGGTGATACATGATTTTGATGAAGGCGAAGGAAATTTCAGTGTTTTGAGCGGGCGGCGGTGACAATTAAGCGCACGCACCATTTACTCTTGATCGGTAGTCATTACAAGCCGTCGCTGTTCGTTTTTTTTTTTTTTTCTCCTGTGACCCGTTGCTCTTCCGGAGTGCTAACTATAGGTGGCCTTGCTGTAGCTATTGCGGAACATGTGCAGTGTGCTGCCATGGGTGTCGGCCTTGAGGGGCGCTGCCCGTGTTGCGTCATGCGCAGTGAGAGAAGTGAAGGAGCGCTGGTGTAGTTTGGGGTGGGGAGTGTGTGTGTTGCTTCGCGAGTGCAAGTGCCTCCTTTGTAACCTCCTCTCCCTGCCGTGGCCCACGTGTGCCACCCGCCAGCTGCTGGTTTCGTTAATTTCATTGTGCTCTAGTGCGCACGACATTTTCATGAGTAGGCTTCCCCGCAAAATACCATGTGGAGAAGCCAGCTTAGAGAAGCCAAGCTTACGTTTTGGAAAGATTGTTCTCGTATTAGTGCATTACTCTTTTACAATGCTAAAATCGCCACGCTTCCTGCGAGAAAACGCGTGGTAAGTGAAAAAAAAAAACAAGCTAGAAGACAATTCGGGTGGCGACGCCGCCCAGAAAATTTCGCCGTGACCTCGTAGGTTTTCGACAGCGTCCATAAGGGACCCAGTTCTTCATAATATTGTCGCGAGAGGGAACGATAGACAGGAACTCGAAGTAAAAATGAAGCAGATTGTCCTTTCAATGAGTGGAGAAGGGGGGAGGAGCAATCGGTTTAACATACTAATTTTAAAGATTTTGGGACGTCGCGCGCGGGAATTACGGCGCGGACGTTAAAAATGAAAATGTGACCTTGTTTTTCTCGTCTATGAATGAATTTAAGTAAATCCTCGGAGTAAAATTTGCCAATCTAAGTCTATTCATTGATTGACTCGCTTTACCGTCGCTTGAAATTCCACTTCATTTCTAAATATAAGTGTATCGCTGTGAAGGCATTTTTCTGCGTTACGTCCCGAAGCAAAATATGATAGCTTAAAAACCTTTATTATTAAGTCATTTTATTACTTGCTTGCCATTGCTGTTAGATCTGCGTGTCCTTGGAAAGCGTGGCTGTGGGAATAGCTGGTTTCGTCATACTCCAGCACGAACAACTACCGCCATCTCGGGGAGCCTGAGGAAGTACACTCGAACCTCGGTATAACGAAGTAAATCGAAAACTGTTCGGAATAATTCTTTACAATGCATTTTTGAATATAACAAACTTAATTTTATGCAAGATGCAACTTTGTTATGCGGTCTGAGTGTATTTGCACACTCCACGATCCTGCAGTATGAATAGCTTGAAAGAGACGTCGTCGCTGCTTCGTAATGTACTGGTTCATCAACATGGTGGCCTTCATATTGTATATGCAGGATAAGGACTCTGTGCTTAACCTGCTTCGGTGTGATGAGAATATTGCCAGAACTTTGTTGGCCTCAGTGTGCCAATATATAAAAAAACAAACTTTTTAGTGATATAATGGTAACATTAACATGTGGTGTTGTAAACATTGCGTGTGCCATGCATGGCACCAACATGGCGATTTCATTGCACGTGATTGTGGCAATGGAGTTTCCTTAAATTATCTAGAAAGGACTCTGTCGCTGCAATCGTTCAGCGACAATGGGAATGATGGGTAGTACACACATTTGCCTAGTCTTCGTACTTTCGGGCGGCGAATTGTACTTGCGGCTTCGTTTATTGCTCTGTTTCAGTTTTGTTTTCAAAGAAAGATTCAACCCTATTGAACTTCGTGACCTGATTGGAAAGGTAAGTCCAAAAGAATAAGGTGGTGAAGCACAACCGTTAAACATTTTCTAATATTTCTTTCGCGAGAAAACAGCTCCAAGCCACACGAACACACAAGGAGCCAAAAGCAGGCCAGAAGTACGAATATTAGACAAATCTGTGTACTATTCATCATTCTTATGCTCGCTGAAGCGCCGTGCGTTGCAGCTTTCATAGACACTAGCGCCAGAGTCCTCTAGTGTATTTTGGGAAATACTAGAGGACTTATGGTTGCGACAGCTCTGTGCGAGGAGTAGTGCAATAACACACTGCACATATGCGCGGCTTTTGGACCTTGTTTTGTTTGTTGGCGGTTGGCACACATGCCAGGAGTGTGCGCCCAGGTTCCAGGAAAGCCTTCTCCCGTTCAACTTGGTGCATACAATAGTGCTTAAACACAGATTTGCTACAGGCGTTCTGAGGAGTGCACTCGAGAGGTTGTGTTTGTCATCAAACGCAAAAAAGCTTAGGTACTCGTGTCCATCGGTAGAAATGTGCCACCTACCCGAAGGAACTCCTGTGTGCCTCAGCCACAAAGCTACTTAATGAGGTTTTTGGGGGAGAGCCATATGCTCAAGAAGATTGTAAGCAAAGTTGGGCATTAGGCTTGTGTTTAAGCTCCCCATAAACTCTGCTACCTGTGCCGGCGCCAAGGAAACGCTGAAGAACCCAAGAAGCACACTTGTGCCAAGAACCACTGGACTTGATACGTCGAATGTGTTGACAATGTTGTCTACGATATTCCCTTGTCGTGTGGTCGTTCCTATATATGGACAAACCAGGCGCTGCTTGAATAACTCGCTTGCATGCATGCAATCTTGGGTCTTCAACTAGCAACACTGTTCGTGTGGTTGCACTCCAGTCTTCAACGACTGTGAAGTGCCCTCAAGATGCCAAATCGCATCTAACCTGAAATTAATGGAGCCATTCGTACCAAAAAAAAAAAAGGGAGCACATGCATCAAAGAGCCTTCGATCGCCCTTTCAGAAAAAGAATTTGTTTTTATCAAGCTGATAAAGATGTCTTCACCGTGGTGGACTTTCACTGTTATTTCATCACTGTTGACCCTATGACAGTTCAGGGCTTTATTTTTTTTTTTATTCATTGTTACAGCATACGTTTTTCGACGCAGTAAAATTTCGCTGGTTGTTAATCAGCATTTGTGTTGTGCGTTATTTCTACTCATCCCGTTCCTGTGCCGTTTCCACTTCGTACTTTAAATTGATTTCTTCATTATGGTTAAAAACCTGGAAAGTGTCTATCTGAACCCATTGCCATTCAGTGTGATGATAAAAGTTATAGTATTGCGGCTAACCTCGCTCTTCTTTTGTTTTGTTTTTTGAGGTTAAACAAAAAAACTATCGAAACACTGTAGTAATGATGTTTATGATTACTTTTTGACTCCAAATTACTAAATTTACTAGTATTTTGTTCAGGAAGAAGTGTTTGTTACGTTCTATTTCTACTTTTTCACTCTTGACTCGGTTGCTACCTTCCAGAATGAAATAAACAATTTAGTAGCCTCTGTGTACGTATAAGCCCTGTTACAATTCTGGTTTTGCAGACGATTGCGGGGACTTTACAGTTACGAAAATAGAAATACCTGCAGAGTAATTGCTTTTCTCTCTGTGTGTCTTTTCTGTGCCGCAGAACTCTGGGTGAACAGGTGACCAATGCCATGGACAAGCTGGTCGTCCTCTTTGGCACCGAGATTCTCAAGATCATTCCCGGCAGAGTATCGACGGAGGTCGACGCCAGGTCAGAAAATCACTTTAAATCGAGAAAGGGCTCGGATATTACAAAGGGACACAAGCTGTGAATTCGAACATACGATTCAACCTCAGTGAAGCGAATCATTGTTTGCTTTCAAGTTAGTTTGATAAGTCGAGGAGTTTGTGAAATTCAGAACACATTTTTTTTTTCTTGAAATCTAAAATTGTAACATAGCAGCACTTGAAAGCTGGCCATTGTTCTAGCCAGCAATCTGCACCTGTGCACTTGAAAAGTCCGAGAGATTGGCTCGGACATGCAGCCTTAGATGTAGCCCAGAAACTGGGGATGCCATATCTGGGAGATGGGATTTATAAAGACTGTTAAGTGCAGCAACGACATTTCACTGATAAGCATTGATGCAGAGGACAAATGCAGTGACCGTACTAACGGATCGAGCCCGAAAGTTGCGAAGGAGACGATTGGTACAATCTGTTGCACAAGTTATGAAAAGAAACCAATCACTGCCGCCCATAGTGTCAGACTTCAGTCTATTGTTTTATGCAGAAACATGGTATGCAACTTCATTGTGGAAGGGCCATAGGGGTGATATAGAAAGGGCGGAAAAAAAATTGGCCAGGAAAACTAGAAAAATCGGTCAGAAAATAGCGAAATTGGGCCAAGGGCAGTAAAAGTAGCCAGAGGAATGAAAATGACTGCAAGCATTTTAATTTAAAGGACTGAATGCAGGAGCATTTTGGTGGAAATGTAAATTAATACAGCAAGAATCCTTTCTTGTCATAATTGCAAAGATAAAAGCACGAATTGTTCACTTGCACAATCATTTTATGTAGGATGACTAAGTTCCCTGTGCTACCACAAAAATGACACTTTTCAGACATATTGCTTAACTTCTCTTAAAAGGACTGGAAGTACCAGCCTTGAGGCGAGGATAAAAATTGCTGGTGCTTGAGCTTGCCCCTGGTCACAGTTAATGTTATTAAAGTGTAAAATAATCTTATTCGCAATCATTTCTCACATGATGACTAATCTGTGCAGTTAATATTTCTGAGTTGCACTCCTTACGTAATTCTCAGAAATATTGCAGGTAATCTATCAGATATCTAACTTCCAAATTGGATGACTGTAGATCTTCCTGGATGCAAAGCACTTTCGAATGTCCCGTTCACTTCCAGTTAGTTTGCAGTCGTGCTTAGAAATAGGTTGTCTGTAAAATGAGGACCCATCAAACGGAACAGAACTCGAACATACTAGCCTGTTTAGTGACACCAGAAAAAAAAAACTACAAAAAAATTCTGACAAAGGAACAATAGCGCTGCTTCCATGCTGTTATTGGTTTGTGCCCAGCCAGAATTCTGTACTCTTTTTGTTTTTTCCTGTTGTGTAATAAACTTTCATAAATTTAATGACAGTGAGCTAACTAGTGCAACCGTCAACTTTAATAATAAGGATGTCTGGGTTTTTACGTCCCTAAACAAAGACGTGACTATGACAGATGCTGTAATGAAAGGTTCTGAAAATTCGACCATTCGGTGTTCTTTGAAATGCACCTAAATCTAAGCACAAGGGCTTTGAGCATTTTTGCCTGCGTCGAAAATGCCGCCTCCCAGCCAGGCTTCGATCCCGCAACCTGCGAGTCGGCTGTTAAGCAGCTCAACCGCAAGCAGGCTTTATTGCTCAGTGACCCTTTAAACATAAGTACTGGTTCTTGTTCAGAACGCTTTTGTGACTGCTCTGACCCTCGCTATCTGTCCTTGTGGTTTGCAGGCTGTCGTTCAACACTGAGGCTTCCATCGCCAAGGCCTTGCAACTCATTGCCCTGTACAAAGAGCATGGCATCGACAAGAAGCGCATTCTCATCAAGCTGGCCTCCACCTGGGAAGGAATTCAGGCAGCCAAGTGAGTTGTTCTCTCATTTAATTTTTTCCCCGCTCTCTGAGAGATTGAATATTGAAAGGAAGAAGTGAAGTTACCCTTGTGCAACCCATAGGGGTTTGGGAGTGATATTTGCACTGACTGGGTTGGTAAAGTTGCAATTCATTGGAAGCCACCTTTCATTTCTTCTCGGCCAGCGTGTTGATCCTTGACCACTCGCCCTCGAAAGTTCTTTGCGCCTCACCTGGTGTTGCGCTGCCTTTGAGATAGGCACACCTTTGACCACGGAGATTTCGTATGATGTCGCATTCACGTCACGAGTTTTGGCTATGTACGATGCCTTGATGGCTGCAGAAAGCTTGAACAGACCCAGATGTCTGGCTGCATCATAGGTATTCGAACAATGTGCCCGTGGCTGTTAACTAGAAGGGGCTGTGGCACTGTAGTCATTAAGCGCCCGCGGGAATGATGGGTAGTGCATGTGTTTGCCTAGTCTTCGTGCTTGCGGGTTTCGAATGCACTTGTGGTTTTGTTTATTGCAGTGTTCTGGTTTTGCTTCGAATGAAGGAATGGACGGTTGCAAACTCCGTGATCCAATTTGAAATGCTGAGCCTAAATGGTTAAGGGGGCAAAGTGCAGCTGCTGAACACTTGCAGACTGTTGTTTCGTGGCAAAGCAACTTCAAGCTATGCGAAGCCAACTGGAGCCGAAAGTAGGAAGATTAGAAAAATTTGTGTACTGCCCATCATTCCCATGCTCACTGAAGCAGTGTGCATTGCAGCTCCCATAGACACTAGCGGCATAATTCCCTCAGTGTATTTATAGGAATCTCTATGGTTGCTCGTGCCCACGTTCTTTGTCCTCTTTTCTTCGCAACAATGACATCACGTGTTGACATCGATTGAAGCAAATATCTCTAGTCCTGCCACCTTTTGGCGTCCTTCATGTTGATGCCGATGGCCACTTGTGTCATTTGCCGAGGCCTGTGCACCTTTCTGCCTCAAAATAGAACTCTGTGGTGGCATAGCTGCACAAGTTGCACCAAAAAGTGAAACCTGCTACATCTTGGGGAGAAATTTCATTTGTGCCAAGCGTGCATGAGGATGTCGTTTTTGCATTATTTTGGCGAGAAACAAGATGGCAGGCACTCAAAACTCATAGGTTACCGCTGAAATTTCAAGTGGTCATCGCGGTAGACTGAAGTGCTATGTTGTCAAAGCAGTTGCTGGGTGCAAGCCTTCCAAAGAATTCGAACTTGCTTTTGCCGTGAAACTTAGTGCATGGCTTTTTTACTAGACCATACTGTGAGATCACATTTCAATAAAATAGTTTCTAATGGTTACTGTGGTTAGTCGGAGATGCACAAGTTTCTTAATTGTTCTGGACAGCAGTATTGACTGACTGCATTAGTTGCAGTAATTCTGTGTGTCTGTGTGCTTAATTAGTTTTTAAAACTTGCAGTTCTATTTGATTCGGTTTAATTCTAAAATATTTCATGCAGGGTGCCTATGTTTTAATGCCTTACAATGGGCAGGCTATCAAAAATTGGAAATACCACATCCCGTGCATTGACTGTTACTTTGCCGAGAAGGCGTTGCGTCCCAATATTCACTTATCTGAACTTCTCTACTTCGGCAACATACCTATTTCTTCTTCCCCATCATCATAAATTTTGTTGGGAATGCATCAAACAACGAGAACAAGGGACCAGTTACTGAGCCCTGTTCATTATTAACCATCCATTAAGCAGTGCCCACACCATGAAAGCCTTTATTATACTCAAAGAAAATGTAGTTGGACTTCTTCTTTCAGAAAGTCAGTAGAATGCACAGAAAATTTAGACAGCTTGTGCTTCCAGTATATTGTAACTTAACAGTCATGGAAAGCCAGAGGCATTTACGTATACCAGGTGAATTGTTAGCCGGCTTAAGCTGACTGGTAATAAACTTGGGGATGTCTGCAGAAAAGCAAAGAGCACTGACTTATCATGATTTTGGCAATAAGTACCACTCCAAATTAAGATGCATATGTGCATAAGCTGATTCCATTTGACATGTGATGCAACAGCTCCATGTTATACTTCATCTTTCGGCTATCGTTCAGCACTGCTAAAGCTGCAGGGTGTAAGAAAGCCACATGCTTGTGCAACAAAACTTGGTTACAGATATAATTGCCTGGTTGTTGGAAAGCTTCAGATGTTTTCCTTTGTTTAGCATCTGCTGCTGCCCATTTATAAAAGGTTCATTTATCGCATTTACGGCATATTCTTTTAAATGTTGTATGGGTAACCGCCGGCAACTGGTTAAAAATTAGCATGGCAGCGCCCATGCACATGCGACTGCGTGCTTCAAACCGAGCTTGCCCTTGACACTTTTTCGAAGAGCTGACAGCTGCAAATAAATGGTATAAAGAGTTGTCACCCTGTACTATTTCATGATCAGGAGGAAGCGTTGTGTAGGTTGTATCATTATTGGTGAGATAAGCTGTCTCTCGGACCACAACTGCTAATCACTGCTAATCCTAATGCACCAATAATCTGAGAGCAGTTTATAGAAATAGCTCAATGGGGGGTGGGTTCATCATGAATACATTGCTGCCGAAGCTCCAAGGCATACATCTGAAGCAAATGCAAGTGCGAGTTTGGAACTTATGGATCACAAAGCACACGACGACAGCATGATAAACTCCAAGCAGAAAGCACCAGTGTCAAATCGTGCAACCTTGGTCTGTTTTATTTATTATTTTATTTTGTGGTGCTGCCGTCTGCTCACCGAACGTGTGCGCGCATGTGCCAGGAGGACGCTTAGCAGATGGCACGGCGCGGATGAATACATGCAGAGGGGCTAATTGTCCTTCCTATTGGCCGTGGGGCCTTGTAGCCCCCCCCCCCCAATGTTAAAGGCAACTTTTTAGATGGAATATAGAGGACAATATTTGCGTCCGAAAATGTGCGAAAAGTAACAGCTCCAAGTGGTTGCTCCAGAGTGATATTTTAGTTGCTCCAAAAAGTGTGCAAGAATGGCTTTAGTCAATCTCATCACTGAAAACTCCTCACTTGGACCACGACCATATATTTTGTACTTGTTTTCTGAAGTGTGTATCCTGATTGCTGCTCATTCTAATTTTCCCTGTTATCATTTTGTCATCTAAATTTTGTGACGTGTCTTTGTCTGCTCTGTCATGTACAACCTTCAGCTGAATCCCGTTCCATCTCTTATATGTTTTTATTTTTATCAATGTTTGCAGACAACTCATGCCAGCTCTTGACAGGGCGGTCTTCAAAGCGTAGAAAGGAGTGTCATTTGGTGCCACTAAAAAAAAATAATTGCCCCATAAAATGTTTTCTGGAGATGGAACAAAACCCATGCTGGTTCCTTAACATTTTTTTTTTTCATTTGGCAGTTAAAGTTCCAATAGGTTCAAGATATCAGTTAACCAAAACAAAGAAATAACTTCAAAGGTTTAAGCTTCTTGATACCCAGAGCAGTGGCATCATTTTGATAATTGGTTATTTCAAATTATCTGAAAAATATCTTTTGTTATAGCATGATTGTTTATTGTCTAAGCTGTGCAATTGCTTAATTGGATTGCTTTCATCCTGTTAAGCTACATTTTTGTTTTTTCTTCTCCATGCAGAGTTCTAGAGTCTCAACATGGCATCCACTGCAACATGACCTTGCTGTTCAACTTCACCCAGGTAGGCACAGTAATTATTTTTCCCAAAATGTGCCTAGCATAGCTTTGTAACCTGCACCTAGCATACACTAAAATTATAATATTAGTAATTAAGGGGCTCTTCATCAATGTGGTTCTATAAGGGGCCAAGCACTATCGATTCATTCTTTGTGCTGAAAAATCGCCTGTCGCCATAGAGCATTATGACAAAATATCTTTTCAGTAAGTGCAACAAACTGCTGCTGCAATGTTAATCAATTTTGAAAGCTCCGAACGGCGAATCTGAATGTGTTTTTTTTTTTTTTTTTAAATAAGGTTGCCTGTGGCACTCGGATAATGTGTTCATCTTATGGCATGTTTGTTGGGGCATGGTGCAAAATGCATCCCATGTGATCGACACCTGCCGTATTGGTATTTGCAGTAGTCAAGTCTTTGTAGCCCATGATGCAAGCCTGGGCGAAAACCCACTACTTTCTCGAGTAGCCAAATCCAATGCTGTTTTTGTTTATGCATGGTCATTGTTGGTTTGAAAACGAATGGCATCATGGAGTGAATAAGGATTAATGGGGAGTACATAGTTTTATATAAATACGCGAGAGGGAACTCGGGCACTAGTGTCCATGGGGGTTGAAACGTAAGGTGCTTTGGCCAGCATGGGAGTGATGGGTAGTACATGGATTTGTCTAATCTTAATTTTTTCGGCTTTGTTAGGCTTCATGGAGCCTGAATCCGCGTTGCCGCAATATGAAGTCCACCGAAAGTTCAGCAGTTACACTTCACCACCTTCACCTTTTGAAGCCCAGAGATTCTAATCTGCTCATGCAGTTCACAAAGTTCATCCGGAGAGAAACCAAAACACAGCAATAAACAAAGCCACAAGTGCGTTCAAAGCCCAAAAGCACGAAGACTGGGCAAATTCGTGTACTACCCATTATTCGTATGGCGGCTGAACGATCGCAGCGTCAGAGTTCCTTCTAGTTAATTTTGGGAAGTAGATTATGGTGGAGTAGATTATGCAGTCTCAGTTTCATTAGATTTCATTGGCGGACTTTGTAGTTGCTTGCCAAGTACAGAGACTTCTAATGGGGCATTAAATATAATGGATCCTCTGTGCACATTGTATAAATGCTGTAATACAGTGCAGTCCACTTATAACGATACCACATATAACGATATATCGGTTATAACGATGGGTCGACTTAACAGTCTCATTTTATGCATTGGGGCTATGGGGAAAAAAACCATATATAACGATATGTTATCCACCGCATATCGGATACAGCGATGAAAAGTTTGCCGTGGACGGCATGTTTCATTCAGAATAATCGTAACATTTAGATTGATAAGTTCCTCTGAAACGAACTATGCCGAGACAAGACGAAAAGTTAGCGTAGGCGAGTACGTATCTGCCGCCACTGCAGCACAGCGCCGGCAGCGCGTCCCGGCCGTTCAAAAAGCCGAGGAGAGCATTGCGAGTTGGCGCGACGCGCTACAGATGGCGCCAGCTGTGTCACGTTTTGCGCCTCGCCGCGCGTCGACCGCGGAGAGGCTGAGAGAATTAAAAAAAAATGCGAAAAGCAAAGCGCCGCGCTCCGCGGCTCCCCGCCTTCTACAACGGCAAGCCGGCAAGCTACTCGTAGCTTGCCGAACGAAAGCGGGAAAGAGAGAGAAAATAAAAAAAAGCGAAAAGCAAAGCGGCGCGGCGGCATCGGGGCGGGGCCTCGTTGGCATTCCGGCTGTGTACCTCTGACTGTGCTTTCTTCCTCCCACTGCTCCCACCCCGCCGTCGGTCAGTCTCTCTTCCTCAGCGAACCCGTGATGCGTTCTTCGGAGTAAGAAATAAAGTCTTGTTTTTGACATGCTACTATCGACAATATTTATTAATTGGTGAAAATAGCGAAATGAAGCCTGGAGCTACGAAAGGTACGTCCGGCGACGCTTTTTTGGCGGCAGTCCAGATATAACGATCACCGGTTATAACGATCATATTTTTAGGTTTTCTCGATATCGTTATAAGTGGACTGCACTATAGCTTAACAGTTTCGTACATATTGCTACATAACGCATTTATTGTGCTCCAAGAAATCTATATTCTTGTTAGCAGCTATGAACAACCAGCAGAACAGCAAACTGGTGGCAGCTGCCTTGTGTTTTTTGCAGAATGGGGCACTCTCCACCTGTTTAGAAAATGGTTGTTTTTCAAAAAGTAATGACGCTGTTCAGTTTGTTTTGTGGTGAACTACACTTAAAACAGGGTTCAATATTTTGCGCTCTATAGTCTTCTTTCTTATTAATGTGTAACAACCTGGTGTTAAGAATTTGGGACTTAAACACAAGCTTGTTTAATTGCATATTTCTAAGCTCTTTTTTGTTGTGCATCGGATATGAATAGACCTGCTCACACCGGTCTTACCAAGTTTTTATAAATTCGCTATTCCAGTAAACAAGTTTCTTTGCGGTGGTCGTATTTCGATGGAGAAGATACGCTAGAGTCTCACCTACTGTGTGGTTGGTGTCGGTGTATGTTGAACTCCAGACAGTCTAAATTTCAGATTCTAAAACGGGCTCTCGCTGATCCAGCCCCGAAACGCATCGTATGGGCTCCTGGCCATCAGGGCTTACGAGGTAATGAGGCCGCTGACGCGGCCGCCCGAGCGCTTACCCACCGGGCTCCTCACCTTGGCTCTTATGACTCGGAGGCCAATACACCACTGCTGCGGTTCAAAGAAATTCTGATCTATTATCGTGACACTCACCGCCTTTACCCGGCTCCTGCAAAGGGGTTGAGTAAGGCGGAAGAGCGAACTCTAAGGCGCCTGCAGACAGGTACTCTACTCTGTCCTGCAGTCCTAAAGCATTTCGATGCGAACACAGATGGGCGGTGCCCATACTGTGGGGAGACGTGTGATATCTTCCACATGGTATGGGCATGTCCGAAAAATCCCCACCTACCCCCTTCCCCTACCCCTTCCCGAGAGGCATGGGAGACTGCCCTCCTCAACTGCTCATCACTAGAGTCTCAACGGGCTCTAGTGAGACGGGCGCGAGTAGGGGCCTCGTCATGCGGTGTCCCGGACTAAGGACGCCGACCATGTAGCAGGGTCATGCTTTGGCCCCGTACCTCTCTCTTCTCTCTTTTATAATAAATGTTTTTCATCATCATCTAAATTTCCGGAGCCCTCTGCTACAGTTTACCTCATGATCGTATTGTGATTTCGGCAGGTAAACCCCCAAATATTGTTTAATGTACAGTCGAACGCCGCTTCAATGAATTTTCCGCTACAACGAAAAATTCAAGATTCCCTGTCAGCAGTCCATAGGAGTAAACGCATAAATATTGTCGCTGCAACGAACACTTTTTTTCGATCGCCTCGCTTCAACGAAATTTTACAGTGCAATTCCAGACTCGGATACTTATTGCTATGCAGTAAAACCAATCTTTACTATTTCGATGCATTTCCAGAGCTTGAAAATGCGTCAATGAAGTCTAAAACACGTGTTGGCACCACCAGAAACCGCCGCTATTCAGAAAGAATGAGCGCTGCTATTGCTCGATAGCAATGGCAATGAGACTGCTCTATTTTCGTTTTGCCACTGGCTTGCTTTTGATCTGCAGACGATCTGAAGCTGAAGCTCAGTCGCTCAGTTCATGGTTTCCTTCTCGCAGCTGCTCGGTGCAAACGCGACACGATGCCTTTTCCGATGCTTATCATTATGTTCGCGCTTGGCCAGTGTGGTAACTAATCGGAGTGGCTGTTCGTCCGCATTATCAACAAAATCTGCTAGCCGCAAGTTATAGATGATAAAAATGGCACAGAATAATGCAAAAGTCGCCGCTCCACGATACCCTGCCTCCATTTCGGCATTCTCTGATACTTTTGACGGCGGACAGTTGCTGGTGTGAACGTATTAATGCAACTGCTTGGTTCGTTCACAAGAGCGGTTTCAGGCGTTGTTTCAGCGTGCTTTTGCTGTGGCCTCTCTATGCAGGGATGAGAATCTCGTCGTGATGCTGCTGGGAAGGAATAGGAAGCAACGGACATTTTTTTGAATCTTGAGAATAAACGTTCCTTTGTTTTGTTGCTCAGATCAGCTATATTTTCTCGATTTCACTACAACGAAATTCTCGCTTCAACATATTTTTTCTGTGCCACGTCAGTTTCGTTGTAGCAGGTTTGACAGCAGTGTATGGTGTTAGCAAAGGAACTACTTAGAAAAAAAGAAACATGCATAGATTGATACCAGTCTCTCTGTTGAAGACCCGTTTTGTCAACACCCTTCGCAGGCGGTGGCGTGTGCAGACGCAGGTGTCACGCTGATCTCTCCGTTCGTGGGACGCATCCTGGACTGGCATGTGGCAAACACCAACCAGAAGAGCTTTGAGCCCCTGGAGGACCCCGGTGTGAAGAGTGTGACGCGCATCTACGAGTATTACAAGCGGTACGGCTATGCGACCGTGGTCATGGGTGCCTCGTTCCGCAACGTGGGACAGGTGCGCGCCCTCGCCGGCTGCGACCTTCTCACCATCAGGTGAGTGTACACGGGCAGGATGCCTGCAATTCACTGTGTGTGTCGAAGCACGCCTCTGTTGGCTCGATCGTAGCTCTGTCACAGTGTGCTTGCATAGACAGTAAGCTCTGCAGTGTCAGAATAGAGCCTTGTACATAGTGTCTGTCATCGCAATGATTCTTGATGCTGTATGTGATACTTCTCAAGAGTAACCGGAACAGCACTACGATGAGCAGAGCTACCAGAGTATGCATTTCGCCTGCTAGGCAAGCACTGTACGACTGCTTTCAAGATTGTTGTATTCGTTGGCTTCCCTCAGAAACGTACTCGGAGGGCCTTTTTTTTTTTCCTTCTTTTTATGGTGGCACTTTCGCACATTTCTCATGTTTTTGGAATGGCCAATTTAAAGGGGTTCTGACATGGCCACCCAACAATGGCGATGATAGAGGGTCAAACATGCTTGTACTTGTGTGAAAACTGGACTGTAAGATTATTTCAGTCCAAAATAAGCCGTAAAAACCATTGGCTATAAACTCCACCCACCACAGGTGACCGCAAATTCGCCATGGCGTGCGTGACGTTGCATGCCATAGGGAGCAGTGCTGTCGTCTGCTACCAAACCGCACCTTTCGCACGCGGTCCCCATCGACACCTCGCGATTCCGGCAGTGCTTCATCGAGCATCAGATGCTGTGATGACGTCGAGTATGCTGCACATTTTGGCTTTGACCCAATCGCCACCAGCTCAAGCATTGAAGAAATTGCTGAAGACGGGACGAACCAAGCTGCCAATGACCTCGCCAGTGTAGCAGACGTTGCAGACGGCTTTCTCTGCTAAGTAGCCTTATTTCAAGCGTGCCAGGTTGACAAGCGAGCTTGGGGTACGAGAGTTTGTCGTTGCTGTATTTGCGAGCAAGTGTTACTTTGTGCAGTGGAATTAGTGAAGCGTGTAGATTTTTATTGGCTAGCATACGTGCAAGCACGATTTTCGATGGTCAACCTAATGAATAAGTGGTCGTAATAATGCTGCACATGGAGAACGTTGTTTTCTCGTCGGTTGTTGGGTGCTGCATATCTAAACATTAGCCAAAGCACACTGCATGTCAGTGCAACACTGAGGCTACTCGCAATATACCTTTTGGCCGAATTTTTTCTTGCACTCTGTTGATTGCATTCAGTTCCGGTAAAAAAAAAAAATAGCAAGTGCGACGCTCAATAATGACACTGCGTGCAATGAGTTTCAATAAATATTTATCTGTAGTGGCAAATGGCATATGCCTCGCACATTTACAGGACACTTTTTGACATCTGACAGATCAATGAAAATTGTTTGCCGCGAGTACCAGCGCTACGTAGGTGACGCGAGGGCATTGTTTCAACCGCCGCAAGTCGTTCAGTATTTACAGTGGCAAGTCGAGCAACGCAGAAAAACCTCGATAGCAAGCGCAATGGACCATGGAAACACGATCGTCCTCCGGAATGCAGACCGCGCAGTAGCTCGCCCAGCCAGTGGCTCGTTACCTCACGGCTAGGGAGTGCACCAATGTTGCCAGACTCTTGGGCCGCTCACTCGTTTATAAAAATATTCAATTATAAATTAATGGAAACTTGCAAGGATCAACCCACACAATTCAGATTATGGTAGAAAATCGGTTGTCATGACACCTTTAAGTGAACAGTGAGTGCAGCTCTGAAATCTTGCCTAGAAGACTGTTTAGACTTTGAACACTATTTATAAGAACACAGCTATAGAAAGAACTCTGTAATGAGTTGTTTTCTGTATTTAAAGAAGGGGCAATTGTCGATTTGTGACAAACCTTATTCTGGGTGACTGTCAACTATACAGAAAGAAGAAAATGTCAAAATTTTGTACACTTCCTTGAAAGCTGATGTGACTCATGAATAATTCTGACAAATGAGCAAAAAAATTGTGGAGTGCAGGTGTGCTGTACTTTGAAAAAACACCAAAGCAACTCGGACTTCTTATCCAAGGTTGTCACCAGTAGCTAGACATCTTCACGACCACCCAAAACGAAAATTCATAGCTACACGTCATTCACTTTCATTGGTCATCATAAAAAGGTGTGAATGAAAAAAAAAAAGGTTGATTTTTGTGTCAACCATTTTAACACGAAAGTTGAATGTTACAGACAGAAATAGTTGAATTCTTAGTGTACAATGATACAAGCGAGTTTGCCCAATGTCTTTTAGTATTGTAACGGGTGTGCGTCCACATTGACGCTTGGTGGTACATGGTGTGGGGCCTCGGAATGAGATTCCTGCTCTCGAAACACAGCAGACACTGTAAAACAAAACATTACGTGCGTTTATTCAGTTACTTTTACATCGACGATATTGCCACAGAGACTGTTTACAATATCCGACATTATGAATAATCAGCGTCCAGTCTTGTGCGCACTCTTGCTTGGGGCCGCAAGACTCGTGCCTCTTGTTCACAGGCACGAGCCAGTGTGGGTTGGAGCTGCGAAGAAGGTGCGTTGGCAGATGAACAGTTTTTGTTCTGGAACGCTCTAGCGGACTCTTGCATCTTTTTGCACATAATTTTCAGGGCACAAGTTCACCCATAATAAACTAGTTTTTGACTTTTCTTCTCTTGCACCCGTTACATTCTGGTGGAGGTGCTGGGTATGATTGGAAGCCCCCTTGGCGCAAGAGAGCGAAGCCTCGATTCTCAACGATTGGAACCTGGCGAACTGACTCCGGTACACCAGCGTTTAGGCCGCCGCCTCCGAGGAGAGCCGCCTAAATTCGCACCCATGCCCAGTGCTCCAGCAACACAAGCAGCGTTCACAGACAACGGAATGATGGCTTACCAGGTGACGTCATCGGAACTTATTCTGTCCCCACCGTGCTTGCCAGAGTCCTTCCACGGCGACAGGTTCGAGGATGTGCAGGATTGGTTAAACACTGCGAGCGGGTTGCGAAAACCAACAGCTGGGATGAAGCAAGGAAACTGCTTCGCGTGTACTTCGCATTGGAGGATGCAGCGAGGACGTGGTATGAAAACCACGAAGTGTTCATACCGACATGGGAAGAATTCCGATGACAAATAGTAGCTACATATGCCAGCACCGATCGTTGGGAGAAGGCGGGGAACGCTCTACAGTCCGGAAACCAGCGCACGAACGAAAGCAGTTGGCATGTATATTGAGGACATGTCCCGCCTTTTCAAACGCGCTGACCCGAACATGAACGAAGAGAAAAGGCTGCGTCACTTGATGCGAGGGGTCAAACAGGAGTTATTTGCCGGTTTGGTACGCAACCCACCTCGTACAGTTGCTGAATTCCGCAACGAAGTCACCTCCATAGAGCGGGCATTGCAGCAGCGCTCCCGCCACTACAATCGTGACGCGAGTAGTGTTCCTGCGGATGTCCTTTCGGCAAACCTGGGAAGCAGCAGCGAAGCATTGAGGGAAATGGTGCAATCCATTGTGAAGGAAGAGCTCCAGAAGCTGCTGCCCCGACAAATCGCAACGCCAGTTTCGTCTCTGACTACCCTGATCAGAGATCAAGTTCGCCACGCCATTCTTCAAGCCGAACCCGAGGCGCAACCTGTTCGACTTGAACAGCAATTGCAGGAACGCCCCGTACCGACTTACGCCGATGCCTTGCGCCAGCCCGCCGTGCATACTGCTTCATTTGCAGCTCCCAGTGGCTACCGACCGGCTTCGCGTGGCTCAAACTATCCAGCTAATTTGAGGCCAGGAAAAAGCGACGTGTGGCGCACACCCGACAGGGCGCCTCTCTGTTTTCACTGCGGCGAAGCTGGACACCTGTACAGAATGTGCCCATATCGACGAGCTGGTCTCCGTGGGTTTTCTCCAAACGCGCCATGCCCCCGAAATGGCGAAAGACTCGTTGAAATTGAAGATTACTTGTCCGGCCATCTGTTTCCAACTGCTGGTTTCCAGCATCAGCCTAGATCACCAGCGCCTGCTCGCTATCGATCGCCAAGCCCTCGACGATTTAGTTTACCTTCTCCACCTTCAACCTCAACACACCATCGTTCAAGCAGTCCCCATCAGGAAAACTGAAGCCAGCGACCTATGGAGGCAAGGCCGCTGATGTCCGACCAACTGAAGATCCTCCGTCAAGGTCAGAGTGCATAAAGAACCCCAGGTGGTCGAAATTTCCGGAGCCCTCCACTACGGCGTCTCTCATAATCATATGGTGGTTTTGGGACGTTAAACCCCACATATCAATCAATCAAGGTCAGAGTGCAGCAACGACGAGCGGAACACTACAACTAGGTTAGGTAAAGACAAAATTTCTTCAGACCTACGCGTTACCGTAGACGGGTGTGAATTTACCGTTTTAGTTGACACAGGTGCTGATTATTCGGTTGTCAGTTACGATGCCGCAAAGGATTTAAGGAAAGTCCTGACGCCTTGGAGTGGACCCCAGATACGCACGGCTGGGGGTCATCTCATCACACCTCTGGGAAGATGTACAGCACGAATCGGAATTCAAGGCGCTACTTACGTTGCTGACTTTGTCATACCTCCGGAATGCTCTAGAGATTTAATACTCGGAATGGATTTTCTGCTAGCAAATGGAGCTATAATCGACCTGCAGAATTCTAGTGTCTCTTTTTCGACCAAACTGGCCATAGACACAAATGAGCCAGAGTACACTGCATTACGTATTATAGATTGTGATGTTACCATGCCGCCACGATGCAGCGTAATAGTCGGTGTAAGAAATGAAGCATTCGTTGATTCTGAAGGTATAGCGGATGCAAACATTGAACTACTGCTCAAGAAAGGCATTTGTGTAGCTCGAGGCATTATTCAATTACATGGTGGATGTGCCGATGTATTGCTCACGAATTTCGGAAACGAAATTCAGCATGTTGCAAAGGACACTGCTATCGCCTTCCTGCACGGTTTTCAAACAGTGACGGACTTATGTGGTTTGGTGTAAGAGCCACCTACTTCGGAACCTGCGCCCGATGTCGTGGCAAGAGTTGCAATCAGCCAAAATCTATCCCCAGCCGAGAAGAAAATCATTCAAGACCTTCTAAGAGACTTCACCGGATGTTTCTCTACCTCGTCAAAAGTACGGCGGACCCAGGTTGTTGAACACCGAATAATAACAGGTGAAGCTACAAGGCCGGTACACCAAAACCCGTACAGAATATCACCGAAGGAACGAGAGGTCATAAAGAGCGAAGTGAAAGAGATGCTGAATAACGATAACATACAGATATCCAAAAGTCCGTGGGCATCCCCTGTAGTCCCTGTGAGGAAAAAGGACAACACGCTGAGATTCTGCGTTGATTACGGAAAGCTGAACAGAGTGGCCAAGCGGGATGTCTACCCTTTGCCGCATATTGATGATACGTTTGATCGGCTACGGCACGCAAGGTATTTCTCTTCATTGGATTTAAAAAGCGCTTATTGGCAAATTGAAGTGAACGAATGGGACCGTGAAAAGACTGCTTTCGTAACCCCGGATGGTCTATATGCACTCTCATTCGGCCTCTGTTGTGCGCCTGCAACTTTCCAGCGCATGATTCACAGCGTCCTTTCAGGCCTCAAATGGCAGTTTGCTTAGCCTACCTTGACGACGTTGTGTTTTCAGCAACGTTTGAAAAGCTTGTAGAGGGACTACGTTCGGTACTTCAGGCTATCCAGTCAGCCGGCTTGACGATTAAACCGGAAAAATGCCAGTTTGGATTCGAGAAGCTTCGTTTCCTCTGTCATGTAATCAGCGCTCAAGGTGTTGGCCCGGACCCGGAGAAGACTGTGGCTGTGGGGGTATATTGCTTGTGAACAAGATTCTTTTTCAGCTGCTTATCATGCCTCTTTAAATCAATCGGCATGTGTACATCCTTGTCTCTCTATGCTGCTGAAAAGCACCATTGTGTTCTTGTACAACACAAATTTATGCAGTTTTCTAACACTTCTTGTTTAGTGAAGCAAATGGACAGCACGTAAAGCGGCCCGACACAGTGGTACTGCGGTTATGGCGCCCGACTGCTGACCCGAAAATTGCAGTTTCAAATCCTTCCTGCAGTGGTCGCACTTTCATTGGAGGCCCGAGTACTTGGATATAGGCGCATGTTGAAAAACACCAGGTAGTCGAAATTTCGAAAGCCTTCCACTACAGCGTCCCTCATAATTGTATTATAGTTTTAGGGCATAAACCTGTTCAAACTATTTTAGGCTGTTATTGTTTTGGTTCAGACTTGAAGTGCTGCTCAGCAGCTTGTATCAAGCCGAAAGGAAAATGTTCTGGTCCAGTGCAGTACTGACCGAGAAGTGTCCATTTCAGCCCTGCCCTGCTGTCGGAGCTAGCCAACTCGACAGAGCCCATTGTCCACCACCTGTCCGAAGCTAAGGGTGAGTGAACTTGTATTGCACAGTGTCTGTATGTTTTAAAATTTTTATGAGTGTCGACTTGCTAAGATTGCTGGAAAAATGTTTTGAGTGAAATGTCGCTATAGCAAACACTGCTATGAAATTTCTGCCACCATTAAAAATTTTCCATTCCCCGTCGGCCATCCATAAAAAAAGTATGCGGAAATTTTCGAGCCACAGCAAAAACTTTTTTTGCACATGTACTTTTCGACTAAGTTTTTGGCATGTCGAACCTCGTAAAGCAAGCTTGCTAAGGATAGGCACGAAATTCTGGTACTAACGGCGAGGCAATTTGATGTTGGCTCATGACCTCAGGAGCAGTGTGACCCTTGGCTTTATTGTGAGTATGTTTTGCAAGTACACTCGCAGACAGATGAATTTTTCATGTTGAGGCTGATCGAGATCTTCAACCAGGATGCTGCTGGGGGTTCGATGCGTGTGTGGACCACAGTGAAATGAATCTTCAAAATTTGCCGTCGTGTTTAGGGAATCGCACTAAAAATGAACCAATTGCTTGTGGTTGTCACTAACCTGAGCTTGGGAATGACGACCACATGGTTTTGAAGCAATGCGCAGCTAGTCTGCTATATTCTGCCACACTCGCTGTGAATGCATTGCAGTTTTATCGACACTATTGCCACGTTCCTTCCTAGAGTTTTCTTATCACCCCATTACCCTGTAAACAGTTCTCGGTGCAAACCGTGCCTACAGTGGTCGAGAAGCTTCAGGACTGCAGTAGATCATTTTGTTCCACCAGATGTCACGGGGTCGTGACATGGCTGAAGGCAGGAAACTGGATGGTCAGATGAAACTGTTTAATTGGGCGAACCTGTGCCCGGTAAACGGAAAGTCTGGTTACACTAGCACTCCTGCATTGATAGCGGCGAATGCAGCGTCGGATGTCGATCAACTGACAAGCGGCGAAGCGTGTCTGCATTTATACACTCGCCATCTAGCATTCTAGCGTCATCACTAGCAAGGACGCAGATTCCAGAATAATCTTAGGTGCTCACGGAATGGGCCTAATCTCAACGAAATAATATATTGTGGTCCTGAAGCTTCTCGAACACTGTAGGTGCGGTTTGCGCTGAGAATTGCAAACGGTGTAACCGAGCGATAAGAAAACTTGAGGTAGGATCGTGGCACTATCGTGACATACCTCGAGAGAATGCATGCACTTTTAGTGTGCACAAAGTGCTAAAACTACTTATCATTCCACAAGCACGGTTGTGGCTAGCAAAGTGTCCTCAAAACTGGGGTTGCCGCAGTTATGAACAGCTACAGTGCAGCTTCGGATATAGCACACGCATGGCCAGGTCATACTAGGTGAAAACTAGCCTTACCATTTGCCATTACTGCTGTAGACGAACTCAATCGTTATTTATGCGACTTGGGTTGCATAGTTCCCATTTCTAATGTGAATCTTCTGCTGGCATATAGACTGCATTTGTACCATGTGCATTAGTAAGTGTGGTACAGTAATGAATGGACTGTTTTGTTGAAGCTGTGTTTTGTACAAATAATTTTTCTTAACCCCTGGCCTTATGAAAGATACAATTTCAATCCATTCTTTTGGAAATATGGTTTTCTTTTTCATTTTCTTTTCAGAGAAAGTTTGATAAATTCTTTTTTTGTGTTGTGCTACAGCTAAGATGGCTTGCTTTTTTTATAATCTTTTCTCTATTTTGTGAGATTCTGCAAAACTGATCTGCATATTATCATGAAGGAGTAGATTAACGAAATCAAGCTACATATTATTCAGCAATTTGCCTGCTTGAACCTTGCAGCCAAGAAGTTGGACTTGAAGAAGGTTGAAGTAGACGAGCCAACCTTCCGCTGGGAGCTCAATGAAGACCAAATGGCTACTGACAAGCTGTCTGATGGCATTCGGAAATTTGCTGCAGACGCCGTCAAACTCGAGAACATTCTCATTGAGAAACTCAAGTAATAGTGGTGCATCTCTTGAAAGCCTTGGCAAGCTGGACAACATCCCGCAACTGTCATCAGCGATTTACTTCATTTGCCATTCATGGGCCCCCTCCCGCCCAATGTTTGTGCACTGGAGTGCCCTTGCCGTGTTGTGCTGGGAGCGAATTCCAAGAAACAATATTTTTAATGTGGCGTTTTAAATACAGAAAGTTTTGCTACGAAAGGTTGAAGCAGATTTTTGCAATATAATACGGTGCAACATTTTCATTTGTAGAGAATAAAATTATTTTTTTGTTAGACAAAGTGTAGTCTGCTTAGTGGTAGTATTTCAGCAGTCTAGATCTGGTGGAATACTCAATGCTTTTTCCACTCGTGTATCCACAAACTCATGATAATATTGTAATGCAGAGATGACACTGTTCTGAAAGCTTAGTATTTATAGGTAGGCACAGAACATTCTTGCACTGGTTTATTTATCAAGCAATTATTGGCTTACTGACTTTTCATTATTGAGCAATTATTTGTGTATTGATTCTGACATTTAGTGTACCACAAGGCCAAAGGGAACTGTCATTGCATAGGAGAGTTGCGATTCGTTAAGAGTACAAGAAATGTTACTTTCAGTGATGCAAGTAGGTAAAAACGAGCACAAATTTCGGGTAGTTTCTCACATTAACAAAAGGTCTGTTTAACAGGGCTTAAAAAGACCAGTGGCCTTGTGATACCAGATGAGTACCCCTCTGCAAGTCCAGACTAATAGAGAAGTAAGAATATTGACACAACAGCTGCCACAATGCGGCTGCGTGAAAAGAGGATGAAGTCGGTTTTCGATTGATGCTGGACTGGCGCTGTACCTTGACAATGTTATTGTATTTTCACTCGCATTCGACTCTTATCTCTATCGTTTATTGGCTATTATTGTTTTACGTTGAGGTGGACACTAGCCGAACGCCTCCAAGTGCCACTTCGCTCGTCAGCAAATCTCCGTGCTTGGTCACCTTGTTGGTCCCTAAGGCGTGCGTCCAGGCCCAGAGAAAATTCGCGCAGTTACAAACTTTCCCATTCCGAAAACCACAAAGTATGTCTGCAGCTTTGTGGGGTTGTGTTCCTATTTCTGATGCTTTGTTAAGGATTGCACATCCTCTCACTGACCTCTTGAAGAAAGACTCCTAGTTTTACCGGGGCCATCACCAAGTGTCATTATTTTCCCAACTTATGACCCTGCTTACAACACCACCAATCTTAGCCCACTTTGATCCATGAGCCCCCAACATAAGTTGGCACGGATGCCAGTGGATACGGCATGGGAGCTGTGCTATTGCAGCACCAAAGTGTTATAGCCAAGACAAGCAGACTGCTATCTTCAGCAGAGTGCAACTTTTCCATCACTGAGCTAGAATGCCTTGCCTTTGTGCGGGCAGTTGCCAAGTTTCGTCTATACCTTTACGGGCGCTTATTCCGTGTCGTCGCCGATCAACACGTGCTCTGCTGGCTAGCTTCCCTGAAGAACCCCACAGGGCGTCTCGCTCGTTGGGCCCTAGACCTTTAAAAATACACGTTATCTGTAATGTATAAAACGGGGCGATTGCATCAGGATGCGGATTGTTTATCCTGCTACACTGTGGACGAATTGGCTTATACTGACACTGTCCCGAACGCGTTTTCCATGTAGCAGCTACTGAACATTGGCGAGGAGTGGCGTCAGGATGCTTCTTTACGAGCTATCGTTAACAAACTATAGTCAATCCCCCACAATCTGTCCCTACGAATGTTTGTGGTCAGACTGGACCTTATGCCGCCGTAATTTTGATTCGTTTGGAATGGCACGCTGGGATGACAAGAAGCAAGTTAGATCCACTGTCCTCCAGCAACTACATGGCGCTCCCATGGCAGGCCATTTGGGCGTGTCTTAAAAACGTCTTGTTTTTTTTTTTTTTTTTTTGGGCGGGGGCCTGGACTTGCTTGTTTAGTTCGACACTATGTCGCCGCTTGTGAGCCCTGCCAGGATCGCAAAACAGTCTGCCTTTCCAGCTGGCTACCTTCAGCCGATCAACGTTATCCCTGAACTTCTTTTATGAGTTGGTCTCGACCTACTCTGTCGTTTTCCACTACCCAGCTAAAAATAAATGGATTGCTGTCGCCACAGACTACGCGACGGGGTGCGCAATCGCACGAGCACTCTCGACCAGTTGTGCTACCGACGTTGCGGGCTTTGTGTTGTACGACATATTAGTGCACGAAGCTCCCCGCCAACTCCTCGCAGACCGTGGCCGCACCTTTCTCTCGGCTGTTTACAAAATCGTAAGGTCTTGCCATACCAAGCGCATATTTACCACTCCGTACCATCCGTCCTATTGAGGGCTTCACGAAACGTGTAACACGACCCTAATTGATATGCTCGCCAAATACGTTGCGGCTGGCCACAGGGACATTCATTTGCCATGTGCGACGTTCGCCTACGATTCCTCCCGTCGCAGAACTGTGGGCTATTCCCCCTTCTATTTCCTATATGGCCTGACCCAATGCTACTCTTCGCCACTTTGCTACCTGCGGCCTCTGAATATGCCGGGTGAGCCATTGCCCGCGCCGACCACGCACCCCAAGTCGCTTGTAATTGTCTACAGACCTCGCAGGAGCACCGACAGCTGTATGGCTCTCATCATAGGGGCGTACACTTTTTCCCGGTTTCTCCCGTGCTTCTCTGGTCACCCACTCGGTGTGTGGGACTGTCTGAGAAACTGTCGTTGCCATACACTGGGCCATTCAGTATCGTTTGCCAGGTGACTGACGTCGCGTACGAGATTGTCCCAACCGAACTAACAAAGTAATCGTCAACTTTGAGCGGCACCGTCCACGTAGCTCGGCCAAAGCCCTATAACCTTACTCGCACATCATCTGGGTAGATTAGGCACCGAAACGGTGCTTCTACCGCCGAGGGTTATGGTACATAACAGCCACCACAACGCAACTACATGAAAGAAGAGGACGAATTGTCAGGTGATTGTTGCTTGAGTGGCGCCACCTGCTCGCCGAGTTCTGTGCATTGTGAATAGATTATTAAAGAAGTTACTCCTAACATATATCAAGCGGCAGCGCTTTGGGCGCCTATCTATCTATCTATCTATTTACGCAGAGTGCACTACATTAGCCGTCGCCGAACATTATACTTAGAATGCTTTTTCATACTAAAGGGGTAACAGAATAGATTCACTTAACGGGCTTATTGCTTCGCGAATCCACCGCCGCAAAAATATTTTAAAATCCGTCCAGTAGGCGCGGAGTTGCAAAAGATTTGTCGCACACTGCAATTGCATTCTCTCTTCTCTAGTCCCGATAAAAGTGCTGGAAGCTAAGCAGGGAGCTATGGCACGGGAAAAGGGAATGTCACGCGCGTCTCGCGACCTTGACCACTTTTTAGATGCGGAGCATCTTATACTCGCGCCTTGTAGTGCGCCGTCCGCACCGCTTCTCGAACATTCGACAGCTGACGCGCGCGCATGCGCCGTCGCGCCGTCGCCCACTCTTCCACCATCTGTGCATCCCTTCCTCCTCTACACACCGCGCGCGCTTCACTCCTCCACCATCTGTGCACCCTTCCTCCTCTACACACCGCGTTCGACATCTACAATTCTCCTGATTCTCCAGTGGACGCGCATGTGGCGTCGCGCTTCGAGAACATTCAACAGCTGACAGTGCATGCGCCGTCGTGCTGTATATATACTCAAGGTCGGCGCTCGCTCGCTCAGTTGCCGCTCGTCGGTTGGTTTGTACGGCGCGTCGACGTCCAAGGTCGCGGTGAAATGAATTCCAACGAATCCACAAACACAATGATCGACGTCCCTTCGACCAGCGCCGCCCTTTCGCATACGTGTGTACGTGTTCACTCATTTAACACCCCCTCCTACAACCACGTTAACCAATTTAGCCATCGACCCAAGTAAGTCGCAATTTAACACCCCATTTCACAACCACGTTAACCAATTTAGCCATCGACCCAAGTAAGTCGCACTTTAACACCCCGTTAACCAATTATATGGTCCGCATCCTCCTCAGTGTTCCCCCGAGGGAAGCTGCGGGCAATTTTTTTTTTTTTTTTTTTTTGTCTACGAATACGCGGCCTTTTCAGGGTGAGCGCACGCGCGGACATGCTGCAGTCTCTTGCGGCCGCCACGGTAACCACCAGGCGCACCATTCTCAAATCAACGAATGACTGATACTATGGCTGTGAGGAGCGATTTTTGAGCTTGGATTGTCATTTGTCAAGAGAAGAGAGAGCAATTGTCAGCCGACTTTGAGAATTTACTGTGAATTCCAAGCCGCGTGCTGCGCTATAATATGTGCCTCTAGAATTCTCGAGAGCCTCGACTACCGATCGACAGTGTTTTCTGACCATGTTCGAGGGCTGTTGCAGGACTCCTATAAGGGACCCGGCTTGCCGTCCATCCATAAATATCATGTGGTGGGATCACGCACGCAGTAAAACTTTCTAACCACTATAGTAACAAACATGGGTCGGCAAAACTTGTGGAGCTCATTCAGACTAATTCAGGGCATATGTTTTGAGCTTGGGCCTCACTCTCGCGAAAACTCTTCAAACGGACTCAATCGAACTCATGCTCGCCCAAACATTATACTCACCTGGTTCACTCAAACTCTGAGCATGATCCGAGACTCGGCGAGTTCGAGTGAGTTTGGTGACCTGTGGTAACAACACAGCCCATAAATATACGCGATAACAATGCACAAAATTGGGTTAAAGTGAACGAACGAGGTCTAAAAAAACCTACAACATAAATGATGGAGGTGTCATCGCAATAAATAACTGATATCAGCGGACTCCCGGTCCGGCAAGAGAGGGCGCCATCACCTCGCCGAGTGTAGGGAGCCTACATGAACGGCCGTGGCCGTTCATGTAGGCTCCCTAGCCGAGTGAGCGAAGTGATCGAATGCCTCTCCCGGGAGCGTGTTTCCGCACCATATCCCAAGAGATGTATGGAGAAGGAGGTCAGGTTGCTGCTACTATGGTGTGCTGAAAGGGGGTAGTGTGCCGTCTTCGGCGGAAAGCAAGGGGAGCAACGTGGTCACTTTTGCAGTGACGCCACCAGATAACGCTGCAATCGAAAGATATGCTCAAGGCGCAAAATTTGAACTTTTATGCGGGGCCTAATGCTGGTTTAAGCCGAAAAGCGTCATTTCACACAGTTTTGTTGGTCGCTTAATTTCATACCATTAGACAACTAACTTAACTGTCGATAATTATAGCACGAAATTTTTAAATGTGCCTGCCCAGAGAGCTCGATTGTGGCTTTGATGTGACTAAGTCTAGATGTAGGCCATATGTCGTCGTTGTTTACCGAAAATAAAAGCTCAAAATGAAGCGTATAGTAAGGGGTTCTAAGTTCTTAACATACTGAATAACATAAGGGAACGAAAGAGTAATAACTTGCGTGCACGGCACTGCATTTCTAATCGTCTGCTTTAACTGCTTATGTTGAGCGTCGTCTGCTCATAATGCAGATGGTAAAAAAAAAAAAAAACATCGTTTTTTGCGCATGTAGGCCTTGTGTTTGCATAGTGTGATAAAAAGAAGTAATTGTTAATAGAAATCATTAAATGAACTCCGAAGACGGTACTAAAAGCGAAAGACAATTCTGAGTGATGCGTTTTTTTCGTTTTTTGTTTTTTTTTTTTGCAATCGTCTGCTACATCTATAACAGATGCCCGCATGACGCGCAGCGGTGCATCCCTGGCTGCCGCCGCTTTCTGTCGCATTAGTCGACGTTACATTTGTTCCTCCGTTTGAAAGGCATTTTCAACGTGTGTGTGAAGTCACGAAACAGAAAACATGAAGAAGCGGTAGAAGGAGAGTAGGGACGCGACCTGTTTTGTTTCAGGCTGTAGAAGCGGCTACCAGTCTTGCAAGGAAAAATGGTCTCTTTTTCGTGAGCCCAAGGATCCCGAACCCCGCGAGGAGTGGTCGCAACTTATTCAGAGAACTGACAGGGAGGTTAATGCAGCGTGCACAACATGTGAGCGGCAGTTTGAGCCACGCTACATAGAGAAATCATACAAGGCGACAGTCAATGGCGAAATAGTGGAAATCCCAAGGGGGCTGCCGCTTTTGGGTAAGGACGCTGTTCCATCCTTATTTCTCCAAGCACCAACCTGCACGTAAAAAAAATGAGCGAGCGAAGAGAAAAAATGAAGGCAAGGCCGACCAAGCGCCAGCAAAAAGGAAACGTAATGCGACACCGGATACCTGAGAGACAATTGAAATCACGTCGGCACCACATAATAATGCAACGAGTGAAACTGCAGGTGAGCTCTTGTGATTATAATTAGCCCTATTGATCAGCGCGAGAAGAGCCTGAACCCAGAAATTCATTGCACGCAACCAGAAATAGTTCATTTAAAAAACACGGCAATAAAGCAATACTTGACCCTTTTTTGCATACAGCTCATTCCAATCGAATATAGTCGCAAAGTTTCACCAGTGCTAAGAACGCAAAAAAAAAAAAAAAAACGCCGCAGGAACGAACTGGCAGCGAAGATAGACGAAGCACTTCTGCTCCCAATCGTGCCAGTTAAACATGGCCTCCATAAAAGCCGAGCTAATCTCGAAGGCCATATATTATCCGCAGACATTCAATGACTCTTAGGTCCAGTGGGTGGTGGCGCTAACATAGAACGGAGTGCTCCGTTGACGAGGCCTTCATCGCAAAAAAAGCTACGTCTCAGGCGACAGATAGCACACTACCCCATTTCAGTACACCATACTGCTACTCCTGAGTGAGTGAAACAACTTTATTGTTGATCCGGCATAAAGGGGACAGAGGAAAGACTAGCGTGCTCTGACGTCCCGGAGCAACAACCTTCTTGTTGGAACTCGCTGCAGATGACGCGTATCTCAACGTCGTAAGCAAGAGGCGAAACAAGATTCTACTCGTCACAGGGAAGCCTGCACGCTCACTTCAAACATTGACGTCATGGATGCCTCGGCAAACGGAGCAGTGGTAATTCCACTAACGGGAATCGCTGGGCGTGCTTGCTACTTGGGCTACTTCCACAGTTTCCACAATATATATATATATATATATATATATATATATATATATATATATATATATATATATATATATATATATATATATATATATATATATATATATATATATATATATATATATATATAGTGGAGCTGCCGTACGTTTTTATGGACAGGAGTTGAGTAGTGTTGCTTGCTCATTTTCTAAAAGAAAGCAAACAGGGTGTTGTCTCTATGTACGATTGAAAGAACACTCCGGAACCTTCAAGACCAGCACGTACGCGAATTATTCTTCGCACTGCCACACGTGTGGGTGCAGGCCCTTGTTCAATGAAACGACAGTGCTCTTCAAACATAGCGATCACATCTCAAGAGAACTAGTCGAAGCATTCTATATCAAAAAAGAAGGGGAGTCCTGCATTAGTGTGACATCAATATCTCTTCATGAAAAAAAAAAAAAAAGAAATCCTAATCAGTAGCATGTTTGTTTGAATGGAATATGTCGCGCCTGCGATGTTACGCGTAGCGCAAAATTATTATGACGTCGACACGTTTCTTCACTGGTCCCTCTGCACATGTTCTGTGTGTTTTTATCTTATGTGCTCAGGTAATTTGTATATTTCAATAAATTTTTCAGTTGAGAGTCAGCCCTTGTTTGCGTCTCTTGATTCTCTTCGTCTCGTGAGTTTGAACGCATTTACTGCCCATAATGTATCACCAATTGCAATTAGCCCAACTATCAGTCCCTGCGCCTTAGGAGTTCACGCGTGAATACTTCGAATCAGGGAATACAAGGTGATATGGGATTGGCGGCTAAAGTAAAAACACGAGTGAAAACTAAACTCTTCACTACAAAGTACTAGCCCTCAATCTCAATATTTAAAGAAAAAAATCTAGTTTATGGTTCATTAAGTATTACGGTTTAGTGGCGTTAGCCACCACCCGATCTAATATATATATATATATATATATATATATATATATATATATATATATATATATATATATATATATATATATAGCTAAATCAATCCATCCGACCATTTATCCATGCTGCGGCCTTCCTCCGTGTGGTGTGCGGTGGCTTCACGAATATGACGTCATGGCGTTTGTCCTTCCTCCATGTTCCTCCACCATCATCGGGCGGCGGCTAACGCCCCTAGCCGTAACACTTAGTGAAGCAAAGACTAGATTTTTTTCTTTAAATAGTGCAGTTGAGGACTGGGTTTTCTCAGTGAAGGTATGTGAAGGGTTTAAATTTCACTCGTGCCTTGACTTTCGGTGTCAACAGGGAGCGTTTCTTGCGAAGAAAGCAGTGAACTACAAAAAAAAAAAGAAAGTGTGCTTTGGTTTTCTGCCGCTAGAGGACAGACCCTACATTATTACTTCAATTGCTATGTAAGTTTATTTATCTTTTAGCTGGTTTTCTTTGCGGTTTTTTTTTCGCCCATACTGGTTCTGTGATTCGCTCCTCAGTGTATGTTTCTCGATTTCTGGCGTAATTAAGGTAAGAATCCCGCTGTTAAATCTTTTTTCGCACGCTCTGCCGAAATTGTGCGCGCTTATTTCTCGTGAATGCTAGATCACTAAAGCAGAGGAGTCCGTGAAGTCTCTGGCCTACTCTTTCCTTGTTCGGTTCAAAAACTGTCCGCTGCTGCTCTTACAACGTGCATCGGGACCACGAAATGAGGCCGATTACGTCCGTTTCTGTTCGAAAGGTTTGAAAGCCCAGTTGTACAAAATTGCGCTTATTGTAAAACATGTTCGTGTTAACGCCACGCGCGTTTTGTAATATATATTAGCCGTTGAAAACGGTGGAAATACGTTTTGGCGGAATCTGCCGATGGCTTATTGTTTGGTGCTTACAACACGAGTGTATTCATGTGAATATGGTTTTCTTTTTAGTAAAAAAAGTGCAGGCGTCTTCGTGGATGTTGGAAAGAATCACAATCTACCGCAATTATCGTAGTAATCCATTCCCGGTTCGCGGAGTCATTTAAGCCTAAAAGCATCGAAGCCTTAAGCCTAAAAGCATCGTGGTGCTTGTGTTGAGATGTACGTCCTACAGTGTTGATTACTAGTCAAGTTGTTAAAAAAATCCAGTCTGTTGGCTATGAGCGTTGTGCTGTTGTACCATGGTGATTTCTCGCCGGTCGCATAGTTGCCATCTCGCGTTTGACTTGGTTCTTCAAGTGAAACAAGAAGTATTTAATGTCTGCCACCTCGTATTGTTGTCTGCAACATCTGTGTGAACGGCACGCACATCAATTTTGCGGATTTGGAGTAGGGTTAACTTTTTCGAGTCCAGACAATGCACAGAAACTTGCTGCAAATTATTGCTTTGAAATTACTTGCTTATTTTTGTCTTTTGCTGTTTTCAAGACAAGGTGGTAGGCACGCTGCCTCGCCAACTCCAAGCGCCTCTGTGCCTGTAGTTCACGTAGGCCAATATCTGAGCGTGAATAACTATGCGCTTCGTAGTGTAACGATTTTTGGCACCATGAGTGCTTTTATTGACTCTTGATAACCACATTAAGCTGCGGTATTTGCCAACTGGGCAGGTCAGATTTCCTGCAAGGACCTCACTAAGCCTCCCAGCTGCAGTTATCCAACTTGAGCGCTCCATACATAAAAAATTACCAAGATTGATAGTATTAAATGGCAGCAATAATGAGGCAGTATCAATGAAGGGCCACAGAATTTCTTAAGAATATGAGTAGCTAGGTCAGGGTGCCACATTGAAAGAGGAAGTGGCTCTTCTTTTTCAAGTGTGGAGCAGTCACGAGCACTAAATTGGAAAAGACTAGAAATAGAGTACCTTAGTTAGACGAACTACTTAGAGATGATATGAGTAGAGCAGAATGCTTCAATGCGTATTTTCAATCCGTTTTTTCTCCGCCAAGCCCGATATCTCCCGTTACGACACTCAGATCGTTACCAGCTATGAATGATATCATAATAACTGAATCAGGTATAAGGAAACATTTGAATAGGCTGAATACCCAGTCTGCGCATGGTCCCGACGGTATTTCAAACCACATACTAAAACGATGTGCTGATCATATAGCTCCATTTCTAGCTGCTTTGTATGTAGTATCGGTAAGGTGTGGAAAATTGCCACGAGAGTGGAAGTTAGCCAATATCATGCCTTTGCACAAATCCGGCTTCCGTGATAATGTATCTAACTATAGACCGGTATCGCTAACCCCCGTTTGTTGCAAGACACTGGAGCACATAATCTATTCTTGCCTTATAAAACACCTTCAAGATAATAATTTTTCCACTCCGTCTCAACATGGCTTTCGCGCAGGCGTTTCGTGTGTTGCACAGCTAACCGAATTCGTACATGACATCGCTTCATCATTCGACCAAGGCATTCACTTGGAGGCTGTATTTTTGGACTTCAAAAAAGCTTTTGATGTCGTCCCCCACAGTCTTTTGCTTCATAAGTTGTCGTTTCTTTGTATTCCTAAAACCCTCATAGACTGGATTAAGGATTATCTCAGCGGCCGCAAGCAATGTGTTGTGATAAATGGTGTGTCTTCATCAACAGCTGATGTACTGTCCGGGGTGCCACAGGGGTCGGTCCTGGGGCCGCTTCTGTTTTTGATTTTTATCAATGATTTTCCACTGGGTTTGAAATCAACAGTGAGGCTTTATGCTGATGATTGTGTTCTGTATTGCCCAGTCAAGTGTTTTGATGACACCACAGTACTTCAGTCTGACCTCGATAAGATTGTGCCTTGGTGTGCTCAGTGGCAAATGAGTTTGAACATAACTAAATGTTTTCATGTGCAATTTAATAACAAAAAAAAGGTAGTATCCAGGTCTTATAACTTAAATTCCTGCGCAGTACAAAAGGTAGATGAAGTCAAGTATCAGTGGCAAATGAGTTTGAACATAACTAAATGTTTTCATGTGCAATTTAATAACAAAAAAAAGGTAGTATCCAGGTCTTATAACTTAAATTCCTGCGCAGTACAAAAGGTAGATGAAGTCAAGTATCTGGGCGTAACATTCACGGCAACACTAGATTGGACCAGTCACGTAGATCTAATCACAGCCAAGGCTTCGCGCTTAATTCATTTTTTCCAAAGAAATTTCAGCGACACGCCGCAAACACTCAAGGAAACCCTGTATACTACAAATGTGCGCCCAATTTTAGAGTATGCTTGTGTTTCTTGGGACCCTTTCACGAATGTACTAAAAGAAAAGTTGGAGAGGGTGCAAAAAAGGGCTGCTAGGTTTGTTACAGGAAACTACGATTTTAGAATAAGGTCTTCGGGAATTCTTCAGGCCTTGGGATGGGAACTTCTTTGTGGACGACGGAAAGTTCAAAGACTTAAATTTCTCTATAATATATATCACGGTAAGACTGGGCTAATTAAAGAGCGGTATTTGAAGACGCCTAGTTATATGTCCGAACGGAAAGATCACTTATATAAAATTAGAGAATATACCTGTCGATTGAATGTCCTTAAATACTCTTTCTTTCCAAATTCTATTAGTGACTGGAATGCGCTAAAAATACCAATAATCTCCGATTCTAATTTCCTAACAGTCATTGAAACAGCATTCTGAGCTGGTGAAATAACCCATACATTTGACGTTGGCTTTGTACTTCTCTTGGTTGTTGATTTTTTATATGTATAATTACTGCTTTCGTTGTATAATCCTGTGTTTTGTACTTTTGTTCTAATGCTGTACTACAAGTGTTGATTTCTGCTTTATACTGTAATGCACGATTTATTTGCTTTTAATTTTGCTGTTTTGTATTCTATTTTCTACTGTAACTAACCCCCCTACAACAATGCCCAATGGGCAATGCAGGTACTTGTAATAAATAAATAAATAAAAAGTAACCTGCACTTCGTCGATCACATTGCATTGCTGAGTAACTCACGGGACGAATTGCAACTCATGATTATGGAGTTAGACAAGGACAGCTGAAAGGTGGGTCTTAAAATTATTCTGCAGTAAACAAAAGTAATGTACAACAACCTTGGAAGAGAGCAGCTCTTCGAGATACGTAATTGTGCATTTCAAGTTGTAAAAGACTGTCTACTTAGAGCAGGTAATAACCGCGGAGCCGAACCACGAGATTGAAGTAACTGGAAGAATTAGAATGGGGTAGAGCACATTTGGCAAGCACTCTCAATATATGACAGGTAGATTGCCACTATCCCTTAAGAGGAAGGTATATAACAGCTGTATCTTGCCGGTACTTAGCTACAGAACAGAAACCTGGAGACTTACAAAGAGGGTTCAGCTTAAATTGAGGACGACGCAGCGAGCAATGGAAAGAAAAATGGTAGGTGTAACCTTAAGAGACAAGAAGAGAGCAGTGTAAATTAGGGAACAAACGGGGGTTAAGGATATAATAGTTGAAATGAAGAAGAGAAAATAGACATGGGCCGGGCATGTAGCGCGTAGACAGGATAACCGCTGGTCATTAAGGGTAACTAACTGGATTCCCAGAGAAGGCAAGCGAGTTAGGGGGAGACAGAAGGTTAGGTGGGCAGATGAGATTAAGAAGTTGGGGGGGGTATCAATTGGCAGCAGCATGCACAGGACCGGGTTAACTGGCGGAACATGGGGGAGGCCTTTGTCCTGCAGTGGATGTAGTCAGGCTGATGATGATGATGAGAAACAACAAGCAGCATAAAAGCTCTGTATTGGAAAAAGCCATGACAAGAAAAAAAGGAATGCTGCTGAACATTGTGGAGTTACGAGTTTGCGGGAGGGTGTGATTTGCAAACTTAGTCTTGTGTCAGTGGTGTAATCAGGACAGGACATGGCTCAAGGAACTGGGAAAGTGCCTTAGACGCTCGCTTCAAACGAAGCTGTAAAGGGCGATATGAGGCTCACAAGCTGTCAAGGAAGATACCACAGGAGGAATATGAAAGATGGGCAAAGTTTTCTCGGTGATTCAATATGTGAGTAGCTAACAGCATGGACCGATTACATTAGCTGTGATGGAAGTGGTGCTCCGATTGCTCGAAACTGCTCCAAAAGAAAAATACTGCTCCAGACCTGCTCCGAAAAGATGTTGGCAAACTAAAGAGAATGTTGTTGAACCATGGGACCGTCCCGTAAGCCTAAGCAAAACCACAAGCAAGCTGTATACACTATCATCCTAGTGTGCTACTCAATGGCAGGAATCCAGAAAAATCTCGAGGGCTGACACATATCAGGCAATGGTGTCCAATTCATATATTTAATATGGGTTGTAATTTTATTTATAAAGAATAAATTATGCTTTCATATAAAATATAAAAAGATGAGCATGGGGTTCGAGCTCCAGCAATTGTATTGTTCCAATCGGTCTCTCTCTCTTCACAATTTTTCGATTTCCATAGTTCACACCACTGAGTGGCATTTAACACAGGTATGCAGTAAAAGATGAAAAGCCTTTTACAAAGTTCACTGCTCTATACTTGACTGTTACGTAAATTATATCACATGCTAAAACTAAATCTCATGTGGGACACTTGCAAGTGGTGCCCCCCTCAGCCTGAAAACCAGAAAAGTCCAAACTCTCTTGACCCTCCCCCCCTCTCCGGCTATGATTTATGCCAACTATATTGCTGCATACAGCATTTTTAATAATAGTTATAAATATTAGATGCTTAAGTCATGTTCTAGACTTCAGGAGTCGTTAGGAACACGCATGTGCTCTGAAAACACCAATAGCAACCCTAAGCTATAGCATTTACTCTGAAGATACTTCAAGCTGCTCAAAAGCACCGCTTTTTCTGCTGCACCATCTGCTCTCAAAAGCAACAATTTCGCTTTCATCACCGCATTACTGTAATGACCACGGGGGTAATTATGACCAGAATTATGGCTGTAGCTTGGAGTGATGTTCTGTGACTGATCGCAAAGTTTCTAGAGCTTGGTGGGTTTCAGGTTCCCAATCGCAAAGGGGCACTGGGCTGGTGGCAGTCGAGTTGAAAGGAACACTTGAAGCCTATCAGGGCAATTCATGGAAATGTTGCTTCAGGGGGCAGCGATATTCGGCAAACAAATATTTAGACATGGTTATCGCTTCTAATAGCAGTTGTTATGAAACAGATTGCAGTGGGAATTCGTTAGTATAAGAAGAGACAGCGACATTTTGCTCTGTGAACTTTGGTTATGTGCAAGCAAGTTGGTGCTGTCATTGCTTGCAGAACGTTTGTTGACAGTAAGTGGGACACATCCCATGACAGCAGTTTTAGAAATGCGGCATTCGTGTTTGTGCATAATTAACCCTCTTAAGGCTATGTAACCTGACACCGTGCTTCTGGATGTAATTAGCGGGTGAATGGTTTCTCTGTCTTGTTTTACTTTGCTTAATAATACCTTGTCAATTTGTCTTTATACTAATACCACTTTCTCTCTAGGTGGTAAACTACTTCAAGGAAACACTTTGTGATAGTATTTTGAAAAGCGGGGCATGTAAGCTTGCACGTAAAAGATTAATGGTTCTGGTCAATATTTGATACTGCAGGGGAGTGACAGCTGTGTCAATTTGATACAATTATTCATTTGTGCACCGAACTGTGCCAAAATCATAAAATTTATGAAAATTGCCCTAAAATGCCCAACCAGCCTCAAATTTTCTCAGTTGCCATAATTTAAGCGAGAAGTAGATGTCACTTTGGCTGCCTGTGTCATCAATCAATCCAAGTGGGCAGACCCTCAACCCCCGTAACACCACCGTTCTAACCCGTTCCCTAACACCGCTTATGTCGCCTTCGCCATAGTACATGGCTGGCCTGCAGAAAAGTGTTTAAAGATCTAGAAGAAGCTTATAGCAGTAGTCCCTAGACACAGCACAGATCGTACAATTACTGAGGTGTGTGTAACTCCATAACTGTGAGTACTAAAAGGATTGCGTACATCTAACAAAGTTACTAGCAAAATGATTTGGAGTATTGTATGACCTTTCTGCAGCCGTATAAAAACCGAACAAAACTATGCACCAGTTTTTTGTTTTTTCCAGTTTTACGAATCTCATGGGCACCATCTTGGAAGATTCACATTTTAATTCTCAGGCTCTCTCAAACAGTGGCAAATTCTAATGTGGACCTCATTAATGTTTATAGAGGGGCTGATTAAAGAAAATGCTACTTTTATTGAAATAGCAACACTTGTATTCAGTCTGCATGATTTAGGGAATGTTCAATGGCTTGTACATATATATATATATATATATTTCTAAATCCAAGCCTTGTTTCTGACACTGCCCAGAATTTGGTTTTCTAGGGCTAGTGAGTGTAGTAGCAAGTATAGTTCACACCTGCCTCAGCAACTCAGTATGTATCTTAATATGTAACTCGGTATGTATATCAAAACGACCATGTTGATCTGTCGGTCCTCGGTCGAGCAGCATATATTTAGTGGCCAATTGTACTGAGCTCTTATTTGGATCTGTGAGAAGCCATTGATTGTTATTATAAATGCGTAAAATATCCATCGGCTTTTAGCTTTTTAGCTGGCATTAAGGAGCAGAAAAATTCTTATTGTATATAAGATCAGATGAAGCTTCACATTATAACCCTGTCAGCATCATTGCGAATGTCGCCTCTATCGGTACACCCAGGCAGTTCGTGATGTCATGTTGATCTAGGATGGCGCCATTAAACTTGGAGAGACATCTACCCTGACCTGTGTCCTTGAGTTCTGCTGGCAGTGCCTTTGGCATGATCCACAGGATGTAAGCAACTGTTGCCTGACCCGTGATGCTGACATGCTGCTTCACTGTTCCCACTGCAGGAGTGCTCCTCGTGTTGAGACTGCAGCTCAAGTTTTGGTCTTGGCACTCCGTGACTTGCCTTCCAGGCCCCTTGCGCACCACTGCTGCTCCACCCATCTTGTTCTGGTTGCCACAGCAGTGCACTGTGAGCAATGGCTCTTTTCTATCTCCGCGCCGCTAACACCTTCGTGACCACAGTTTTTGACACTCCAGGAAATACTGTTATTTCGCCATAGAGATGAATTGTTGCTTAAGTCCGAGATGCAACAGCCGCACTTATTTTGCCAAGCTGTGCAAGCAGGTGAAACCTGCTACTTCTTGGCAGAAATTCGATGATTCTCGACAAGCCTGCGCCAAAGTGTTGTTTCTGCGTTCTTTCCATGAAAAACAACATGGAAGGGTGCTCTAAATTCATAGGTTACTATTGTAATTTCAAGAAATCAATGCAGTTGACAGAAGAGTACTATATAGTTGAGGTAGTTGCTGGGAGGAAGCCTTTAAAAAAGTTTCAACTTGGTCATATTGCGAAACTTGCCGCATTAGTTTCCTATCACTGATAGACTGTACTGTGAGATAAGTATATTGATTGCAACAGAATAGTTTTTAACTTTTGTGGATGCTGTCAGAAAAGGAATAGTGATTTGGTTGTTCTTGGACAACATCGTTGTTTGAATGTATTATAGTAACTCAGTATGTATATAAAAACGACCATTTTGATCTGTTGGCCCTCGGTCGAGCAGCGTTCCCTCCCGGGGACCCGGCAACCCCTGGAAGGCGACATTCCTGGCTGCGCCTGCCCTTGGGAAGGGCACCTGCTGCTGCTGACCGGTGGGGACTCGTTTTTGGACGTGCGGAGGAGTGGACCTGGTGACCCTGGAGGCCCTGGACGTTCTGGCTGGCCCTGGCGACCTCCGGATGCTGGATGGTGCTGGCGAGAGTCTACAGCTCATTTTCTTGCCTGGCTCTTCGCCTGCTGCATGCCTGGCCCGGTCGTCACTGCCTGTTGACGACGTCATCGGGCTCCGGTCACCGTCGTGACCGCAACGCCGTTGTCGCCTGCCGCCAGGCCCACCTCGTTCTGCCCGGCCCTGCTGCTGCCCGCCGGTCCCGCTGCCATGGATCCCGCCCGCCCGAGTTCCGCGAGGAGTCGTCGTCTTGGGTGGCGCCTCGCTCCTGCCCCTTCTGGCTCCCCGGCACCACCCCCTCCTCAGCGACCTCGGCACGGGACTTGGATTCCCCTGCAGCGGGCCCCTCTTTGCTGGCATCCACTGTGTCGCCCTCGTCTGGACCGGCTGGTTTGCAAGCACCGGCGTCTTCACGCCCTGCTATCCCGGTGCAACCACGCCAGCCGATCCTGGACGGCGACGTTCTTTGGGTCTACCTCCCTACCCCGGTAGAGCTGCAGTGTCCGGTCAGCGACTGGAGCATCAAGTACAGCGGGGCCAATTGGACGTCCCGCGTGCAGTCGGTGCGCCGCCACGTGGAATTCGAGGACTTAGTTCGTGTTAACAATCGAATTCACGTGTGCTCGGTGTGCGACTCGCGACTGACGTCCCGGCCCTCGTACCACCGCTGTCTGGCCACGGCTACGCTGGCGCCTTCGTTGGAGGCGCCTTGGTGTCGCTGTGGTGTCTGTGATGCCACGTTAACCAGGCTGGGCCTTCTGGCACTGCTCGTCCTCTGTCCCCGGTTCGCCGGCACCAAGGCAGCCACGTTAACCAGGCTGGGCCTTCTGGCACTGCTCGTCCTCTGTCCCCGGTTCGCCGGCACCAAGGCAGCCAAGGAAGGTATTTTTCAAAATTTTTAATGCTGTTTGTTCCAGTTTACTTCTAAAATATTTTATGCAGGGCACCTAAGTTTCAACATCAAACAATGGGAAGATTTAATCAACATTGCCACATACTACACAGTTACTGTTACTTTGTTGAGAAAGCGTGGTGTTCTAATATCCCGCTAAATCTCGGGCTAAACTAGATTAAAAAAAGTTGTTTTCTGGTTTAATTTTTGGGTTGGGAACAGCTTTTGGCTTTGTGAGTGAGCTATCAAACCAGGACTTTTGCCCCCCCCCCCCCCCAAAAAAAAAAAGCAGTTGCTGCAGGAAGTGCTCGTGTGCAAGTGAAGTGCATCCCAAATTACTCTCACCATTTAATGATCCCAGGTAAGACTAGCAGGCTATATAAAGGAAACGAAAATAAAGCTTCTAGAAGAGAAGAAAAAAAAAACAGCAGCTATGCTCTAGTGCTGCCTAGCCTGAAGGCATTGTGCAGCTTGGCGGGCTTTGGAAATAAGGTTTGTAGAAGAGAAGAAAAAAAAAAAGCAGCAGCTATGCTCTAGTGCTGCCTAGCCTGAAGGCACTGTGCAGCTTGGCGGGCTTTGTTATATTCTCTTTCTTTGTTCCTCTCTTTCGTCCTTTTTTGCAAGTCTCTTTCTTTCTCTCCTTGCTCTCTCCCCCTCCTGCTTTTCCTCCTCACCATGGCATCTCTCCTCCTTGCTCTCATTTACTGTACTATACTCTACAGGGCTATGCTATGCTCTAATAGTGGGCCTCGATTACAACGCTTGCATTGTAATCCAGGCGGATAGCTTTGCACCCAACTATCTGTGTGCACTACTTGTTTGTTTGTACTGCCCAAACCTCGGGAGGGGAACTTTGAGAGTCTGTAGTATCTACACAGAAGCGAGGCGACTTGGTCGATATTCTGCTTTGCCAAGATGTGATGTGTACCCTGTCAGAGAAGATGTGGCATGGCATCTGAAGGGGTAGTCTTTCACAAACATTCAGAAGGTTTTATAGAGTCGGCAGTGGTGTGTTGGGTGAATGCAAGTTGCTTTTGAAGGTTGGGCAGTTAAAAATATTTAAAATTTGTTGGATGAGCAGTTAACTCAGTAGAAATAGTTTCACTCATTGAAAGTGTGTCAGTTTCTTATGCTTTGGTTGGGATTTATGTTTTTTTTCCAGGACATATAGCATGGCTTCATTTGAGTTCAGTATTTTAACGAAAAAGCTCTGTAGTATCCTGAAATGAGGTGAGGGCAGCAGTGTCCTCAGCTGCCGAGATTGAGTCCAAGGTATCCTCAAAGGAGATTGCATTCACTGTAAATGCTATTTGTCACATAATGCAAGGAGCATTGTCACTGATGCGAGGTGCACATAGAATGCGCATTCATGCTGTGTGGAGTAGGATATGATTAGCAGACATTTCTAGTGCCTGCTGTGTTGGCATCTCCGTCATAGATTGTCTGGTAAAAGGTTTTTCTTAATTTGATGACTTAATAGGGTCAAGTGAATCTGATCAAAATTTGATAATGCCCTCCGCTCTTAAGGCGTGTCCTAGAGGCATTGCACAAAATAAGTGCTCAGGCAGGCCAAATACAGCTGCTGAATGTCTATTTGCAGGTGATGTTCGTGGCTCCAGATGCCGTCGTGCCAACTGTTGAGATGGCTTTGGAAAGTGTTGAGGGAGAACCTAGGCGTCCAGCTGTGCCCTTGCCACAATCATTAATACCCACATCATTTGAAATTGAAACATGTTCATGTGAAGCAATAGAACTGAGATCAGAAGCTGCTGACGGTGGTGATATACCATTGAAAGAAAAAAATGCAGAAAATGGTCACACAGATTGCAAAATCAATAAGAACCCGGACACTCTTCGAACAGATGTGGAAAACGCTAATATTGCAGAAGACCGCACTTCAAAATATCTTTGTCGCACTTGTCATAAGCAGTGGGACACAAAGCTTTCCTACTGTCATCACATGACTACTGAACACTCCGTGGCATTTTTCTGTGGACATTGCTTGAAGCCGTACAAGAGGACGAGGTATCTGCTCACGCATGTTGCTTATCGTCATAAGGGCCCCCATTTTCGGTGATGAAATTTGAGGATGGAAAAATTATTGATGTCGGCAAGCTTGTTGCACCATCATGGGTTCGTGAAGGTCAGCGTTATCTCAAGTGGACCAATCGTGCAAAGCTTCAAAAGAGGGGTAAAACCATGATAAAAAATCTGAAAATTGCAATTCGTAATGTGAGCTCTGCTGTTCTCTTGAATGAAGTGGAGCAGCAACAAGGAAAGAGCACATCCTCCGATACAGATGACCAAAATACAACCGCAGAGACTCCAACGCGTTGTGCAGTACCCATGGTTAACAGCTTGCGTACAAGAGTCCCTGGTAGCCCATCTTTTCAAGACGAGCCGTTGCATGAACTTCCATCAGCATTGGACGATCTCAGTGACATTGGCATTGATCAATCCTTGGAGGAATCCAACCATTCAGGAGTTTCGTCCTTTGTGCCAAATGACCTTGACATCAAGTCCTTCGTACCACAGCTTTTGGAATGGTTATCAAAGAAAACACCCTTACTCACAAAGCCTCAGACGAGCATTAATGGTAAAGTTCACATGAAAATACTTTCGTCAGTGTACATTGATGCTTCCTCTTGCAAAAAAGTTAATGGAAACATTGTACTTAAGGAAGTTTCTTCATAATTCGGCTAGTCTGAACACCATGCATGTACTCAAGGATAATGATGGTAGTGGCCCTGATTCTCTTCTGTTTGGAGCATATGCAGGTTCGCCTGTGTGCTCCGTGTGCCTTATCTCCTTTGGCACTTTTGAAGACCTCTGCAAGCACTTTGCAAGAATGCACGAGAACTCTTCCAGGGACATTGACAGTGCCGGCAAAATAAATTTGCAAGGTAACCCGAAACTGCAAAAAATTTCATCCATTGCCAACACCATCAGGAAAGTCAAGTCGAGTCCCAGCAGTCATGCACAGTTCAAGCACTCGAACAGTAAGCTAGTGTTGCATTTCAAGCTGTCGAAATCAAAAAAAATTTAAAGCCTCAGTCATCACTAGCAACGTCTTCATATGACTGGGTGGTGCACGAGTGCTGTACAGCCAGTTTGCAAGTGTTACGAGCCTGAACCCTGTTATTCAGCTGGTCAGGCTGCCTGCTGTCAAAAACGAGAGCCACTATGAGCACCTTTGTCAAATGTGCAATCTCTATTTGAACGCACTTTTGTTCTATTTTCCGAAGTGCTCATTCATTTCCTTATGATGCGAGAATTGATCTAAGCAGTATTTATCTTCCCAGCATTCAATTTATGTCATAGTAGTCGTATTACCTTTCATGGAAATCTGGATTTTAAGCAAAGTTCTGTTGATAATTAGGTAGGTAGGTAATAAACTTTAATTAGGATCCAACGTGGAATTACTGGCCCGGGCTAGGCCTCCAGGAGCTGTCGTCCGCTGAGCATCGTGCGATGTCTTCGGCGGTAGTCCTGGCTCACTGGACAGCCCAGATTTGGTCCACGGCACATTGGCTGAGAAGGGCGGCTCAGTAGTGGCGGCGAACACTGCACTCACACTCCCAAAGTATATGCACCATGTCGGCTGTCTCGTGCCCGCACCACAGACAGCCGGGTGACGGGTGCAGCGAGGGACACAGTCTATGCAGGTGTCGGGGATTCTCAAATGTGTCGGTCTGCGGACGCCTCAGATCAGACGCCTGAGACCTTTCTAGCTGCATGTGGGGTGGCGGGTAACGTCGTCGCGTTTTTCTGTAATGGTTTAGGATCTCGTGGAAGGTAACCATGATGTCATTGCAGTCCTTTAAGGCCTCGTGGTCTGTTATCGGCGTCGTGGAGGTATTATGTCTTCCGACCTCAGGTGCCTCGCAGTCGTCAATGTGTCGCACAGCGGCAGCCCTTTTGTCTGCGTCGCGGCAGTCTCGCGACGAAGTGGGCGCGCTCGCTGTCGTTCGACGGGAGGTCAGATCTTTGCTCGCTGCCAAGCTCTCCCACGTGCCGGGGGAACCACTTGAGAGACTTGGCAACAATCGCACCAGACTTGAAATATTCCGTTCTGGCGTTTAGCATGTGCGCCACCTCGACAGATACCCATCCCTTCGTAAAGTTTCGGACCGCCGTCTTTGCGTCACTCATAAGAGTGTCCTTGTTTCCACTATGAATTACTGCGAGGGCTATGGCCATTTCTTCTGCCGCCTCAGACGATGGGAGCCTCGCAGATCCCGTCACCGGAGTTTGTTTCCTCGTGTCGACCACCGCCATGGAGAAGGAAGGTGTGGATTGGCGTGTTTGTTGCTCTCGTTCGTTCTGCTGTTGTCCTCAGTCGGGCCGGGGGTATCTAGCAGCATCGACAAAAAGGACACTTTCTCGGCTGCTGTGCTCTTTAAGGATCACCTACCCTCTGCATCTGCGCCTTTCGGCATCGTGCAATGGGTGCATGTTTCGGGGCATATTCTCTGTGAGTATAGAATTCTTGACTGCTGGCAATAGCGCATTTTTAGTCTCTGTGTCCAGTGGTAACGAATCTCGAGGGAGTCAAGGATGGTTCTTCCGGTCTTGGCGCCCGACAATCTTTCGAGCTGCGCAATCCTCTGAGCCTTGATGATTTCGGCCAGCGTGTTGTGCACGCCCAGCTCAAAGAGCCTGCAATTGCAAGTGTAGTGAGGTACGCCTAATGCAGTTTTGTAAGCCCTGCGGATGATCATGTCCAGCTTGTTGCTTTCGCTTGTACTCCAATTGACGTAAGCAGCTACGTACGCGATGTGGCTTAAAGCATACGCCTTTATTAGTGTCACTACATTGTGCTCTTTCATTCCTTTCCTCTTATTCGTGATTCTTCATATCAGGTTCGTGGCGGCTGCCACTCATTCTGCAGCTGGCTGACCAGCTTGGGATTGGTACCGTTTTCTTCCAACCAGAGGCTGAGGACTCGTATCTTGGACACCATGGGTATGCGGACTCCTTCTTTTGTCGTGACACACACGCCCGTCTGACGGACCTCGGCCACGTCCCTCTTGGGACGTCCTGGTTTCCGAGGTCTGTGGAGCAGGATCTCCGACTTGTTTAGAGCGCAGACGAGCCCCCGTGTCTTCGAGGTGCTTCTCAACTTCGCTTACCGCTCGCTGCAGCCTATCTTGCATGCTCCCAGAACTCATGCTCTCTGTGGTTCATATCCTAATGTCGTCCGCGTAGATTGTATGGTGGATGCCTTTGATCGCGTTGAGCCGCTCCGGAAGGCCAATCGTAATCAGGTTGAACAGCATTGGGGAGAGCACGGAGCCTTGCGGCGTCCCGGCACCTACCATCTCGACCGCCTTTGGTGGTAACCCGTCGATCTTGATTCGTGCTTCTCGCCTGTCGAGGAAGCTGCCGACATATGGGTGGAATTTCTCCCCTAGGTTTAGCTGACCGATCTCCAGTATGGCCGTGTGCCTCACAGTGTCGAAAGCACTTTTGAGATCGAGCCCGAGTATGACGCGAAGGTGCGTGCTCGGTGCAGCGACGACTTGTTCTTTAATCTGCAGCTTTGAGTCCTGTGTGGAAAGTCCTTTCCGGAACCCGATGATGTGGGTGCCAAACGCGTTTCGACTTTCAAGGAGCGTCACCACCCTATTCAGGCAGGTATGCTCGATCACCTTGCCGATGCACGACATGAGAAAAATCGGCCTCATGTTCTTGACTACCAGTGGCTTGCCTGGTGGGGGTATAAGCACCACGTCTGCAATTTTCCATTTGCGCGGAACCCGACCAGTCCTCCAGCACTCATTGACATACTCACATAAGTTTACGATGGCATTGTCGTCAAGGTTCCTGAAGATCTTGTTAATGATTTCGTCCGGGCCGGGCGCCGTCTTCGTCTTGAGTAGCTGAAGAACCGCCCTGATCTCCTGTACAGAGAAGTCCACGTTGAGCTCTTCGTTAGCTGCGCCAGTATAGTCGGGATTATCTAGGCCTTCGGGGTGATTGACGTGCGTCCGCACGACCTCGTCCGTGAGGGCCTCCGGGTCGTCCTTGTATTTGTGCTGTAACTTGGCCTTCTCTGCCTGAACTACCGTCCTGGTACCGGGGGGATCTAGCAAGTGCTTCAGGATCTTCCAGGTGCGTCCCGCGCTCATAAATTCCGTCCTTGGTATTGCAAAGCTCTTCCCATTCCTGCTCGCTTAAGCGGGAACAGTGTGTCTCGATTTCGCGGTTGACTTCGGCGATTTTTTTCTGCAGCTTGTGGTGTACACGTATCCCGAAAGAGTACGGCCACCAGCGTGGGTCCGGTCTTAGTGAGCCGCAGGGCACGCGTTAACCGTCGCCGTGGCGGGAAACACGATACTGCTCAAGTCGCAACACTTTATTATGGCAAAACCAACGCAGTACAGCCCGTTGCAAAAAGGCGCGGCGGGAAAGCAAGTAGGCTTATCCACGCCACGGGCACAAAGTACTACACAGGGTGCCACGAGCACGTCTCCGCGGTAAAGGTGATCCACGGAGACACCGGGACAAAGGGCCCGGTTGCTCGAGCGAGGGCAAAGGCGCTCGCGTTGGCTTCGGAGGGAGACGGGTCGGCGTAGCGAGGCCACTCACTAGGACACCGTACTGCCCTTTGGACCGTTAGTACGCAGCGAGGCAACAAAAGGTGAGCGTTCGCATCGGGCGCGAGGCGCCGTCAGCGAAGTCCGACGAGCCCCGAGCGACGGGAGTCGACGGACGGAAAAGATTTCGTGGCTCACCGCTTGCTGTCCCGGAGAGTACCTCACCGCTCCC